GAAAACCAGACATGAAAATGCACCCTATATTCTATTTTTCAAAGAGAACGTCAGAAACAGAAAGTCGGTACCATAGTTTTGAGTTAGAAACGTTAGCAATAATATATGCACTTAGGCGGTTTCGAGTATATCTACATGGTATTAAATTTAAAATAGTTACAGACTGCAACTCTTTAGCGCTAACATTGAGCAAAAAGGACGTAAACCCACGGATTGCGAGGTGGGTGTTAGAATTGCAAAGTTTTGACTACGTGATAGAACACCGGAAGGGAACGCGAATGGGGCATGTAGATGGTTTAAGTAGAATCAGTATTGGGGTAATCGAGGCTAATTCATTTGAGTTCAATTTAAGTGTATGTCAAAACCAAGATCCTACAATTAAAGAAATTAGGGAAAAATTGGAAAACGGAGAGGACAAATTTTTTGAGATGCGGGAAGGGTTAGTATATCGGAAAAGAAATGATGACCTACTTTTTTATGTTCCGCAAAGTATGGAAACTAATATTGTGTTTAAATATCATGGCCAAGTAGGTCACATGGGAATAGACAAAGTGTGCGAGAACATTTCGAGACATTATTGGTTTCCAAAATTAAGAGGAAAAGTCCAGGCCCACGTGAAAAACTGTCTTAAGTGTGTAGCCTTTTCACCACGGTCCGGGAAACTTGAGGGATTTTTACAACCACCAGAAAGGGGAGCAGGCCATTTGAGACCGAACACATAGACCATTGCGGGCCGTTAGCGATAGGGACAGGCACGAAGAAATATTTACTACTTGTAGTAGATGCATTTACGAAATTTGTGAAATTGTTTGCGGTCAAGTCAACGACTACGGCGGAAACGGTGAAGTGTTTAAATGAATATTTTGCGAATTACAGTAAACCAAATACTATAGTTTCTGATCGCGGAACATGTTTTACATCGAAAGAATTTAAAGATGTCGTTGACGAATTACAAATCAGACATGTCTTAGTCGCTACAGCGTCACCGCAAGCCAACGGACAAGTCGAAAGAGTTAATAGGATCGTTGTACCTATGATTGCGAAGCTGAAGGACCAGAGGAAATGGTTCCAAGTTCTAAGCGATGCAGAATTCGCATTAAATAATTCTATAAATAAATCAACGGGGGAAACTCCAAGTAAATTGCTATTCGGAATTAACCAAAACGGTAAAATCTCGGATAAGGTGCAGGAATATTTAGATCAGGCAAACGCGCAGGAAAGAAATTTAGAGACACTCCGAGAAAAAGCAAGTAGAGAAATCAAAAACTCACAGCAATATAATAAAAGATATTATGATAAGAAACGGAAACCACCATCTAAGTATAAAGTGGGCGAGTTGATAGCCATAAGAAATTTTGACTCAACCCCTGGGGTCGCACACAAATTAATTCCACATTTTAAAGGTCCTTACGAGATTATTAAAGAATTGCGCAATAATCGTTACGTTGTAGCTGATGTAAAAGGATTTCAGCTAGCGCAAAAACCATACCAGGGTGTGTGGGAGCCGGCGAACATGCGTCCGTGGCAAATAGCCACTGAATAGTATTTTATATTAATTAGTTTTTTTCTATTTTTATTGTTTTTCATTATTACTGTTGTTTAAGGAAAATTCATGTAATTGTAATGCGCGAATTTTTACTTATTAACTTGTCAGCGATATAGTACATAAGTAACTCTTGCGTGTAACAAATGTGCGTTTTTTTTTTGTTCTTCTTCTGCTTTAGAATGTAGCGTAAATTATAGAAATACTGTTCTTAAGCATAGGGAAAAGAAAAGGTAACCTGAAGTCAGGTATACGGACAAGAGTCGATACTTATGATTGTTCGAGGACGAACAGATTGTCAGGAACGGCCGAGCTGTAAGCCACAAGAGTGCGTACGGCACCAAGGACCTCCCTGACCGTTGGTTTATGGCACTTAGCCTGAGCGAGACCCGTAGTCGCCAAGGTTAGGGAAAGCGCTCAGTCGGATTGCACATGGCCCACCCTAGCGGTGGGTCCCGTTTTTCCAAATTGAGGAAAGAGGAGTCAGTCGAGCTAGGCCCGCGGCAAGGGGCAGTTGAAATAAAAGATAACCGTCCTCAGTAGCTCTTCGCATTTTTGTATACGCTTTCTGCCCTATCCCGTTTTCGACCATCCTTACATACTTGAACCTATTTAGCAGAACAAGATTTGGTTAAGTCGATAGGGTAAGTTGACTAGAAAGCTTGCAGGTACTAGGTTCGAATCAACCTCTGTTGTTTACTACATTTTTTTTATTTTTGTAATACAACTTTGAAATGGAAAAATATTTTATTTATTTTTACATTTGATGTTAATTCCATATGACGTCAATATTAACTGTAAAACAAAAAATATAAATTTATAATGTAGAAAATAAAAGTACAGTAATAAAATAGCGGTATCTTACAATATTTCCCATTAACAATAAGCTTTTGTAGTCAAATGACCGAGCAGTTGTAATAATTTGGAATGTACAGTATGGATGCCTAAAATGAGCAGGTATACGGACATCCTTGCTATGTATCTAGACATTGTCGTTACTCTAACAATTGTTAGTAATGTAACCGAAAACTATTAGTGTCCATAGTGATAATATGAACGATTAATACAGAATTCGCCTGATAAAGACTAATACAGAAAAACATATGCGACACATACCGCTATTTTATTTCTATGTTTCTATTTCTTATATCATAAATATATGTTTCAGGTTTACAATTAATATTGATATAACATAAGATTACCATTAAATGCAAAAATTAATAAAATGTTCTTTCATTTTAAAGTTGAATAAAAAAAATAAAAAAAGAAATAATAATAACAGCGAGGATTCGAACGTCCACCTATAGATTTATAGTCAACCACCCTTTCGAAGAGTGCTAAATAATTCACTTACTAGGATCTCATAGAACTTGAAATAAAAATATCTCGAAAACAAAGGCCCATTGCGAAAAAACGTATTAAAGTTTTTCGATATTAGGTATGTACTATAATTTTATCTACTATCGTTTCAAAAGCAATTTCCACTACCGTAAAGTCCCCTTGTAAGTCAATTGAAATGAAACTTTTGATAAATGGACATAGCTATTTGCCTAGTAATTCAGATTTTGCCATTATCCAGTCACACATACGAAAAAAATTTAAACCATTTTTTCACCAGATGATTGGTAAGTACAATATAAACAAAACATGTAAAAAGGAAGCACCGTTTAATGTAATCCAAAAGACTCAACAGGATTTGTTGTCAACAAGATGTTTAGAAAATTCAATCTTTAACACAAAATTAACCGCTGCAGTACATTGAAGGGAAAAAGAAGGGTCCATACCCCACGTCATACGATTCAAATATGACTTTAACGATGATTCAAAATTTAATACCATTAATATAAGGCAATCTACAGAAGGTAGATCACAACGTTTGAAAAATGTAGAACAGCCTTTGTTATATTCTAAAGGCAGAACTGAGATAAGAGAAGAAAGGAGAGACATGACTGCATGATTATAAACATGATTACTATAAAAACTTGAGAACTAATCGAAATGACGCATACAGCTGATGCAGAAGACATCATTTATATTGCTGATAAATTAATTAAAAATAATATATTATAACAGAACTGCTAATATTCATTTTTATGAAAAGTCTGTAATAAAAATATATAATAATAACTTCTTCTATAATAAAGAACATAAAAATTTAAACACTGAATTTAACTTTATTAGTTATTTCATTTGCAAAACAGAAAAATTTTAACATTACTGACGATTACTCCAAAGCTACTCTATTTTATATACTGCTAGATGAAAGCTACTTCTGTACTTATGCATTGTACAAGGTTTATGTGAATTTGAATTAGAAATGAAATTTTAATGAACACTGTTTCATCACGTTCCTTCACTTTTTGTTCCATGGAGTTAATTGATTTGTCCTGTGAACCGGTCAATTATAAATTAGTATAACCCCATCGATTCACAGGATGTCTCCTGAAATTGAATATTAATTCAATTCATAAGTATCGTTGTACTTTTGTATTGAAAGAAAATGTGTATCAAGTATGTGATTATTGATATTACAATATTATAGCAACTAGGAGAATTGCCTTCACCAGACTCGAATGTCGCTCACATATTATAATCACATACCAAATCTTCAGTAAGCGCCGTGATCTAGTATAGTGCGACACTTATCGATGATTCACTGTAGATCAGTTCAACGGGTGTACTGTTCTCAAATTTTAGTGTGAATAACAGTTTTGTGTAACAGTTGTGTGGTGTTCTACTTAATTTATGACATCAATAATAATACTAACATAATTAAAATTCCGCTCATAAGTTTTGATGTACTTTTTTATTGAAAGTAAATATGTGCCAAGTATGTGTTTATTCATATTGCAATACTGTAGCAACTTGGGGAATTGGCGGCCTGGGTTGCACGACACTTATAAACAATTCAATCTGTTTCATGATATACACAAAAACTTACGAATTAACATGAAATTTAACGAGCCATACCATAGATGGGGTGATACAGAACTTATAATTGTCCCACTTTAATTATTTATATTTTAAAATGTATTAAATATCTACATCTAATATTTTACATACTGTAAAAGAGATCACTCTACTATCATTCTGTTAAAGCACGTTAAAATCGAAGACGGACAATTCGTGTGTTTTCCTCGCGAGATAGGAAGAATGATTTTCAAATCATTTTGAAACACGATCCTTTGCTTCTATTCGTCGGAGTCTGAAGTGGTCACAGTCGATGGTACGAGCAATAACACCGGAGATAAAAATGATAATGAAAAGATGCGAAAGACAGGAGGATCGGGTGAGCGAAGAAGCTTCGACTCGGGGCCTGAACGAAACGCGCTCGAGGCTGGTCCGCAGCAGGCTGCTCGGTGGATAGCAAGCACTGAAATAGCTGCACCACATGGCGGGGGTCTTTAACGTTGGCTAGATTTCTCTGTATGCGTTTTTACGTATCCGTGAGCCGGGGAACACTGTCGCCGTTCAGACCGAAGGCAGACCCTCCGAAGAAACGCGACCGTCGAATCCGGGAAAGACGTTTCCACCGAGAGGCTACCGACGATCCCTCGATCCCTCGTACGCTGGATTTTCGCGTGCACCGTGTGCTCGAACATTTTCACGAACGGATACACGATGGATGAGGAGAAGAAGAGAAGATACGAGTGAAAGATCGATCATCGGCTCTCGAGAAGGAAGTAGAGAAATCCGAGAGACGGTACAGAGAGTGCTGTTTATCTTGGAGATTCGCGAGGACGTTGGAGTTCGCTGGTACAAGAATACATCGTCGCACTGCGAACATATGACGGCAAAATGAACATACACAAACGCGAATCCCAGTCAGTTCGCGCGTGAGAGTGTGTAAAATTGCTCGCGTTCGGTCGTGCTCTGTGCCGCGATCCCAGCAGAAGCCGCTCGACTAGATGGCAATCCGTTTCGCGAAAACCGAAAAATCGTTTACTACGTTGTCCGGTCGAGAAACGCGGATTATGTCTGCTTGGTTATAGTTCGTCGAGCAATAAGTTTACAGGTATATCGGTGCTACGAGACTCTGGTGATAGTGAAAACGGGTCAGTGTTGCGTTCAGTGCATCGAAAAGTGTCGTGAGAATGCAACAATAGAATCGTCCGCTCGAAAAATGTCACGGGACATCGCGGGAAGAGTCTCGGACGGGATGAATCGCCGGTGCAATCGGTGAAAGTTGGGAAAAAATCACTCTCGACGGCCATAGATCCCCCAGGTATGGCTGCCTGTCATCCGAGGCCGATGATCCAGCACCTGCAGCTGCAGGAGCCGACCCAAGTGGGCCTTGGATCCGTGAACGGTATCGGTAGTCAAACTGAGAAGCCGCTTCAGCAGTCTCACTATTCGCCCCACTTACTCAACTGGGTGTATCTGGCGATCGCCGATCAGAATCATGCTCAGCCACCGGACCAGGTACACGAAACGCGCCTCCTGAAACCGTATTGGCCGTCGTTTAACTCGATGTCTTCGGACCGTGAGTCAGTCTGCACGTGTTTAGATGTGTCAGAGTTACCGACCGATTCCGTGATCAGTTTCTCGCGCTGCCATCTTTTCTGTCGCGTGCTGCGCCGTTTCGAAGACGTTAAGGGACGATAGAAATGTATGCAACTCGAGAAACTGATTACCACGATCGTACCCTAGGCAGAGTGGCGCGTTTAACGGGCGAATCGCCGGTTGTGACTTCAGAGCAAGCTTCTCCCGACGATCTGGAATAGCTTTCCGACGGCAGCGTCGCAAACCTATTTGCATCGAGGCGGTTTGAGTCCTTCCGGCGCGATAGGAGGCAATTTAGCGGACAGCATCGGCGATTTCGCGGACCATTTCACGGAACTGAGCCTGCTGGATAGAAAACCAACCAAAAGGCCGCCGCCCAGTTACCTTTGCCACCTGTGCTTCAAGAAGGGCCACTACATCAAGGACTGTCCGCAGGTAGTCTATTTTCGAATAAATTTTTACGCTTCCATGGCTTACTTACGATTGATGCTCGAGAATCTCGATAACGTTGACGGCGTAACGTCCGAACACGCTCTTCAAAAAGGACTTTTCCAGCTTGCGCGACCCGGAAGTCTCGAAAAGCAGCGTTTGTTCCCCCTTTAGCCTGAAAGGAGCGCAGTTATCGGCGAATTCTGCCGCGCTCTTAAACGAAGAGCGTCGCTCGATACAACGACGCGATACGTTGCTCAATTGAACGCTAATTGAGACAACAAACAGCATCTCTGGCGAGCATGACGTCACGCGTTGCTCGTCGGCTGGCGCAGTCGATGAGTTTGGCCCCGTTAACGCTGCGTGCACGCGCCTCTGTTTTTGGGGCTGACGCGATCACACCACGGATATTATCATAAATGTGAAAGATCGGGGAATACGTACACTTATCAGTGAACGTTTACCTTCACGATATAGCAAGGTTGTAAATTTCCGAGGACAACGAAACTGATACAGTGCACTCTCGTTAATGTTCGCGACGCGAACGTTATCGAGGGAGGTATGTCAAACTTGATCGCATCGCAGACGAAAGTGAGAAACACTCATAGTAAGTGAAATAGAGAGAGATGTTTAACGTTTGTTTGTTCTACAGATTCTAAAATCGTTCAGAAATTAACTCTTAAGTGGATTATTCGGGCCACTGACCTGGGTCCTTTATCTGACATGTTAAGTATAGTATTTTGGTTGCAATCGTATAAACTTATGCTAGATATGGTTCTAATAACTTGGCAGAATTAGGTATTCGTTAATCTCAATATAATTTACCATAGTTTTATGATAGTTTGACTATTTGTATTTAAAATCAAACTCCAATATTTAAAATAAGCGATTCTATCATGCGGTTTTGCCTAGATGTAGTTTATTATCGTTGTTTTCATATGCCAAAATGGTAATTTCGCTTTACTACTACTAAGTTAAAATCAATAATAAATAATAATAAATGTGTCATTTTGAACGAATATAACAGACGTGTTCTAATACTTATGACCGTTGAGTCTTCGACTATATCGACAACTCAATCAGAATAAAACAAAATAATGAGACAATTATAGGTCAATTTTTTAACCCTCAAGTGGATTATTGGAGCCATTGGGGCCCTCCGTAAGTTTAAACTAATAATTGTTTAATATATGTCAATGTAATTATTTGCAAAATTAAGTAATCATCCATAGTTCATTATTTCTTAAATGCTTTAAAGGAAAGTTAATTTCCATTTATCAATTTGGTAAAAATCAACATTAAGTAAAACAGTTCAGTTGAGATTGGCAGTCCACTTAAGGGTTAAAGTACACATGTAATTTCTGTTGTAAAGTTCTGGATTCTCGTATGGTAAATCAACTTAAAAATAGTGCATAGTAAAGCCTCATAACTAGACTGCAGATGTATGCATTTATGGGAATTTTAATTCTCAAAAAACTATATAATGGATTTCATATAATAAATACAAGAAAATATAAGAAATACTTAAAGTAAAATACGAATTATTATATTTAGGGGTTGAGACAGCCCTTTGTGAAGCTTCCGTTTCATTAATTCTATTAATAAAAATGTGAATTTGCATAAAGATCCGCAGTCTACTTATAACACATTCATCAGCGATCATCAGTCTATTCTTTTGTATCCCATTTTTAATTGCTTTAACATCAGGTTCTTGCCTATTTCTTCTTCCTCATTTGTAACCAAATGTAATACCAAAGTACATACGTAGCTTTTTTTACAAATTGCGTGATTTTCGTATGGTAGCTCGAGTTTAAGATAGGAAGCTTGATTAGTTAACACGTTCCTAGCCAAACTTTTCGTTCAGGTCATTTGATGTTATGACTAAAGATTTATATATTATCACACAATATTTCATTACATCTTCAATCCATAAGTAATTAGCTTATTTAGAGTAGTTATTACATTGTGTACCATGGTACACATGGCGCTGTAATCAGTTCGATTGTAAGAATCAATCAGATCGAAACTTTTTGATTAGCAAAAAAAACCTGCTGTATTCGAATTTGTTAAGTAAAAAACGAGGGAAATAAAATATTTAATAAAAGAGGAAATAGTGACATTTTGTAGTGACTGCCTGAACAAGCCTAAAGGTCAAGTTTAACATGTACCATAAATGGTACATGTGGCACGGTACGTGTTAATGACACATTTGCTAGAAACCATCAATCTATTCTTTCGTATAGTATTTTTAATTGTTTCGCAACTTTTTAACGAGTTCAACATCTGATCCTTCTTCTTATTGTTAAATTTCATTTTTTATGCTTTTAAAACACTATGATTAGTCTTATGTATGAACATTTAATAACCAGCTTTGCAACATTTGCCCCGTCGATGCAGTTCCAGGAATTGGTGGGATGACTTCGCGAACAATATCGAGGGAGAAAGTAGCGAACATTAAAAAGAGACTACTGTACGCATCAACTGCCAAAACAAGCTAAACAACAGGATTGTAGAAAAAAATCTTTCACCCAGTATCAATGTACCTACTTACTATGTACTTACGATACGTGAAATTGATGTTTCGATGTCTGAAGCAGTTTACGACCTTGTTATATCGTGAAGGCTATAGTACCTTCGGAGAAAGAAGACCTGATCAACCAGGACCATAATAAAACATGGGCAAAAGGGGTACGTGTCTCTGAGGCCCGAAATAGTAACCTTTAAAATGAAACAAAATTAAATTAAGTATTTTAATGCTTTACCGTTCGCATAATTTATGTAAAAAGACTTTATGTACACAGGGTGGCCCACAGACTACTAGTATATAAACAAAAATTTATAATTAAAAAATGAACAGATAGTTTTATTCTTCTTTTCCTAAGGTACAAATAAAACATAGAAATTAGTGGTATAATGGTTACGAGAAAAAAATTGTTTGGGTTTAAGTTGAATGAAAATGGCAAAATGTTCTAGGGCAACGTATCGAATATTCATTTTTATTTACTGAAACAATGTAGCTTATGTTTTGGGTTTTTCAATAAGGGCGACAGAACTTTCAATTGTCATAGCCGACATATTTGTTATTCGCTTGCTCGAAATAGTCCTTTATAAGAACATTTATTTGATAGACGCAAATGTTACATAATGTTAAGTTAGTCCACTCAATGGAAAACAGATTTATGTTATAAAAGTAAACGGTAGACCAATTTGCTATTAAAACTTTCAATTATTTAATTTAAATAATTATTACATGTTCCGTTTCAAATTCTTTTGCGAAACTATTTCTAGCACGTGTTTACAATAAATATATTGTTAAATTAATTTCTAATTTTAATTACATAATCATTTTAACATGTATACAGGGTGTTCGGCCACCCCTGGGAAAAATTTTAATGAGAGATTCTAGAGATCAAAATAAAACGAAAATCAAGAATATCAATTTGTTGATTGAGGCTTCGTTAAGAAGTTATTAAAAAATGAAATTAAAAAATTTCAAATCATTTTGAAAAAATTACAATCATTTTTGGTGAATACACATACACCCGAAATCCTATGCACTTCCGAGATGAAAATTTTTTACCGAAAATATAATTACTGGCCAGAAATGGTTCTCCGAAATTTCATGCGTATCTTTAACATCATAACTCCTGAACGGATTGGACGATTGTAATGTTTCAAAAGGCAAACAACGCGTATTTTAGTAGAGAAAATGTAGAAATAGCAAAAATAGTCGAAAAGTTGATCCTTGACCTCGTAAAGTGCGAAAAACCCCGTAAAAATGGTCCAATTTTCAAACGGCCATAACACCTACAATAGTGAATATATCTCAATAAAATTTAGTAGTGAAGTAGAGCTCATGGATACCTACAAAAACATATTAGACAACATTTCCATACAGAGTCAAACAAATTTATCAAAAATCAAAAACGAATTTGTAAGAAAAATCGACAAGGGGTAGGTGCCTAAATTTTTCGGCGAAATTGAAAAGTTTCAAATCACTCTGGAAAAATTATTTTCGGTCGTCAATTACAATCATTTTTGGTCATTACACATACCCCCGAAATCCTAACCAATTTCGAGAAAAAAATTCGAGTATATTGACAAATTTTTCGACAAAATTAAAAAATTTCAAATCGTTCAGGAAAAATTATTTTTGGTGAATACACATATCCCCGAAATGCTACGTACTTTCGAGAAAAAAATTCTTTTCCGAAAATATACTGTGTGTTCAGAAATGTTTCTCCAAAACATGCGTAAGTTTAAAAAATCATAACTTCTGGACGGATTGAAGGATTTTAACGATTCAAAATACAAACAATGAAAAAATACATTGAATGTAAGGTCTGTTCGTATACCTCGTCTGTGGTGAAAACTACTATCGCTTGCTCGCAGCTGTTCGCAAATTGCCATTCTACGAGCGGAACTTTAAACGTTAATAACTTTTTAACGAAGCCTCCATCAACAAATTGGTATTCTTGATTTTTGTCTTATTTTGGCCTCTAGAATCTCCCATTTAAAATTTTGCCTAGGGTGGACGAATACCCTGCATATTTCATTAGTTAAATATCATAAATGTAAGCGTTTGAATACTTTCGTGTACATCCAAATAAAAACAATAAGCACCAGATAATCTTTTGTAGTTTTCATTTTATTTTAATTCAAAGTTCTGTCGCCCGTATTGGAAAACCCGTTAGTTAGTTTTAAGTCCCAATGAGTCTAGATGCGCCATTCAGGGGGTACGCTGTATTTGTTCCGGCAACTACGCGCGCGTAATTTGAATTTCGAACAATCCTAACGCTGATTCCGCTTTCACCGGTTACGGATCGCGTCACAGTTTTCCTCCTCGAACACACGCGAATCGAGCGTGTTGGGAGTTTCTTAAAATATGCGTATGACTAACGCGGTAATTAGAACGGTTCCGTGAAAGCGTGTGTTCCGATTCCAGGCGCGGCCAAAGGGCGAGGGCCTGACACCGTACCAAGGGAAAAAACGATGCTTCGGGGAATACAAGTGTCCCAAGTGCAAGCGCAAGTGGATGTCGGGCAACAGCTGGGCGAATATGGGCCAGGAATGCATCAAGTGCCACATAAACGTCTATCCGCACAAACAGGTGAATACGCCTTTGCGTTCCGTGTTGCGTAATTTCCGACATCGTCGGAACGCACCTGTTGCTCGTCTCGTGGGGTTCGGTTATCCGAACGTTCTCACAACGTCCGATTCGTCGTCGTTGATATCCGAATGACAAAAACGTCCCGACCTGTGGACCGCTTCGAAATATCCACGCAAACCGGCAAAAGCTAATTATAGTCGCATAATCGCGCTCGACGTTGATCGCCCGGTGCGCAGAAAACACCCGGCCCGTTTCGCGGTCGTATCGTCCCGAGGCAAAAATTCCCTTGCCCGACTCTTTTCTTCCTCGCGTAGGAACATCCGTGTGCGTCGCAGATGTTCACCGACGTGTATTTTTAGTCGACAGTAGAAAACTGTCAAAATATTGTTGTGACAAAAAAACTATGTCGGAATTTTCAGTAAGAAATAGTAGATGTTGCAACTTACAGCTGTTTGATGAAGTGATTTTTAGCTACTGCAGCAAATCTTGGATAACTGCAAGAAACACGTAACCAAAGTCTCGCGATTATAAAAGCATGGTTAATTTTCAGTTCTGAGTATCTTGCCAAAAGACAACGAACGAAGAATAACAAAATGTGAAACTTATTTATTTTTTATTTTTTGTTAATGGGACCTTTACTAATATATTTCTGAGACTTTTCTGATTAAAACAAGACCAAACACGATATAACTTGGATCATATTTGCGTATTTAATGAGTGCGTATTTAATCGTATTTAACACAGTCTTATGCTTTATTAAAAGTAGGTTAAAAACAAATTATATCGTATTTGGTCTTATTTTAATCGGAAAAATGTCACAAGCACATTGGTAAAAGTTTCATTAAAAGAAAAACAGAAATAAAAAAGTTTCATCCTTGCATCATGTACTATACAGGGTATTTCACCTAACTTGACCACCTTAAATATATCGCTTATTTTGTATGATAGAAAAAAATGTCAAGGGGAGAAAGTATTCTGTTCGAAGGCGCCAATACGGTGATGGATCGAATTTTTTTTTCAAGGTCATTTTTTTCGAGATTTCAAGGTCATCGTATTTTTTTTAAATGGGACTACATATTTTCGCTACAACAGTCTTATAGCTTATAAAAAGACGAATCCAACGATGTGCGATATGTTGACCTTCACGTGACCTTTAGCGAAGGAATTATGAAATGTTTGTCAGTAACTTCAGTACGCGTTCGGAGACGGTAAATGAAGGAATTTCAATTTCATTGAAACAGTGTACCGTGTAATTGTTTCTGGTGCTTATAAATAGATATTCATATTCTCCTTTCAACGGTTGAAGTATGTTTACAAGCATTATTATTGTAAGAGGGGAATGACCGAAGCGGGTCAATAGCGCGTTGTCAAAAAGCCGCGACGTACACAACAAGTTGCGGTATCGATAGCAGTGTAATAAGATTCTCCATCATGTACACTACAGCAGAAAAAGTGGAAATGATTTTATGATCGCCGGATCTTACGCCACTTGATTTCTTTCTGTGGGGGCACCTAAAAAATACAGTTTACAATGATATTCCCACAACAGCAAAAAACATGCGACAAAGGATTCTACATGCATGTAGATCAATTACTGTAGAACAACTGAAAAATGTTCAGCAAGAATTTATTTACCGCCTCCAAAAATGTATCCAGGTTCATGGTGCACATTTTGAACACCTTCTAAAATAAACATTTAATTTAAGACTGTTTCAATGAAATTGAAATTCCTTCATTTACCGTCTCCGAACGCGTACTGAAGTTACTGACAAACATTTCATAATTCCTTCGCTAAAGGTCACGTGAAGGTCAACATATCGGACATCGTTGGATTCGTCTTTTTATAAGCTATAAGACTGTTGTAGCGAAAATATGTGGTCCCATTTAAAAAAAATACGATGATCTTGAAATCTCGAAAAAAATGACCTTGAAAAAAAAATTCGATCCATCACCGTATTGGCGCCTTCGAACAGAATACTTTCTCCCCTTGACATTTTTTTCTATCATACAAAATAAGCGATATATTTAAGGTGGTCAAGTTAGGTGAAATACCCTGTATACTAGTATATTGTCTCACCGATACTCGAGCCCAGATCAGATTACACTACGCGGTCCACTCGACGTTTAGCTTCTTTGATATGTTAAAGGGAGTCCCCCCTTTCAGTAGTAGGGATGAAAACGACCACAATTATTCAAGCATTGCTGCATTTCAATGTTTAAATTAACGTTGGGAGACGCGTACGGTCAAGAACCCAATTTCTGATCATTTTAGAATATAAATAATATATTAGTTTGTGTAATACGTCTGCCTGTAGACTTTTTGAAGCCCCTACATTTGTTCTTGACCACTCGATTTACGCTGTTTAACTAATAAAAAAAACAACGCGTGTGCTAGAAATAGATCTATATGGTTTATACTAAAACCAATCAGGTCTTCAATTTTTTCAGGTGTCAACTTTGTATCTCTGCACAATAGACACAGCCCTGCTTGAATAATATTAACACAACCATCTATTTCTTCATTATTTTCTTCCGTCATTGTAACGTACACACGCAATTTTGTTGCTTAATCACGAACCATTTCAAAGAAAAATGAATCAAATGAACATAATTTTTCGAGCTTGTGTTCTGCGCTTAGAAATTTTGAAACGAAATTGTCCTGTATCGAATCTATTACTAGGAATTAAATGTACCCACCAACACTAATTTCTCTTTTCTTTCTTTTTCAATATTATACAAATAATACATGCGTTCCAGTTGTACGATACTAATTTATACACGTGTATTATAATTACTGCAGTATTGAAAAAAAAGATGTGTAACATTTTATTCGAATGACAGATAGCTTAATTATAATTTACTTTTCTTCTACATACTTTCTCTATTCTTAACACTATTTATGGTTAAAAAAAATTATAATTATTTAACAGAGCACGCTAATAGTGGATGAAATGCTATGAAACAATAGCAATAGAAACAAAACAAGGCCAGGATTCCCCCTACTTTATGGTTTTATGTACATTTTGTCAATAGATAGAACTACATGGATACTTTTTTCTCGCCGATTTTCATACTTAGTTTGAAATTTTATTTTTGTCTACTATACTTTTATATAAGTTAATTCTCTAACTCCCTGTGCCTTCTATGTATAACCAACCAGCCTTCCGTACACAAAATTATTATCATTTAAACGTATTGCAATGTTTGGATACTTTTATCGGTGATTGTACGTTTTATTATACATCATAGTATTGTAGCACTGTTATTAACGTTTTTACTATTGTCTCTGCACTTACATTCTACAAAGATTTAATGTCTACGGCAACGAAATTCGTCATGGTAAGTATTTTATTTTACGATATACATATACGACTACAGGTAACAATATATAATAAATTCAACAAATATGTAACGTAACGATAAGTAGAAAGTGGATGTTTATAAAAAATATATAATAAATAATAAATTAATTAAATTTAAAAGATACATTGCATACAAATATATATAGAAACATAATGAATACATAAATAAAAACGGATACACCATCTCGTTCGTTTCGATGCTTTGTTTACTCAGAAGCTGCAGGTAAAAAAGTAACGAAGATTTATTTGCAAACGATACATGCAATTCCTCGAATTGTATTTACTAAGAATATATATAACAAGTACATATTATGAAAAAAATGTTGACGATATTTAAAAAAGTATTTTAAAAACTATTATTGATCCTATGTATCGTACAAATATTACTTTCATGCCGAGATAAAGATAGTTTAAAAATTTCATTCATCTTTTGGTAGCCATAAAATTGTTTCTACTTAATATTTTTCCATAGATTTTGTTTCTCTATTTCCTTGGTAGTCTGTGATGTACATGTTTTTAACTTCTCCCTGATCATAATACATTCGCAACAGGACAATTTCATTTGAAATTTTCTCAGCGCCGACTATTATTATAATAAAATTCTTCGATTACTACTCAAAGATTTCAAACGCCTGTTATTGTTATTACGAATCAAATTACAACACAAATATAACAAATATGAGAAAACTAATTGACTCGGAAGAAAAAATTGTAATTACATTTGCAAAATGTAAATTAATATAAATAATAAGTTTTTCCGAAATCCTATACAAATACGTAAATTATCATTTTTCATAAAATCTCTTTTATTGGTTCAATTAATCTCCACGGTGTAATTGTCTTAACTTTTATTCGGTGGTCAACACTTGTATTTAAATAAGAATTTTGCCCATCTCTAGTTGAAAAAGTATATGTTTGTTTTACACACCGCAAAAAACACAACATAAAAAACACTCGTCTAACAAAGAGAATGCAAAACCTTCTGATCACCGATTTTAATGAGACTCTGTACACTGGTAGATTTCGTCCTAAAGCTACTACACCGTAAAGACAGAGATTCAATAGTTTTTCAGATACTTATAATTAATATTTCATTATTGTATTAAAACACAGTTTAGTTACATTTACATTAGTATATTTTTAAAATGACTGTATTTAGAACATAAAACAAAAATAATGTAAAAAATAATTTTACTTACTACAATTCCAAAAATGAAAAATTCAGAACTTGTCACTACGTAGAGAAATTGAAAATTTAACATGGAAAAGTACATTTGATTACATAATTCTACAGGTATGCAAAAAATAAATCATCCGTCAACCACGTCTGAAAACAAAGAAAAGCGCAGTCAAAAAAATTAATTACGATATGAAATAAAAGAAATATATAAATGAAAAAGCAAGAGAAGCAGAAATAAGAAAAAACATTTTGTACATCTTATAAATGCGTTCTCATGGCATGCATATTTGTCAGCAAGCCAGTCAGATTGTACTGTAGGTATACTATTTTTAGAATTTATAGAAAACTTATTGTTAGGTGTTGCTTAAAAAATTGAGTACGTATACAATTTTCAAAAACCATATAATTTACAGTTTAGTGATAAGTTTAAAATTTTTGTGTCTATAATGAGTAACATTCCTATATGTAATAAATACAATTATTTTATGAAAAACGGTACTAGCGTAGAATGCTAGGTGCTTTTTCTCCACATCAACTTGGTAACTTGGTAAACGTTGTAATTAAACTATATTTTAACATAACGATGAAACATTAATTAATCTAAAAAACTATCGAGTTCCTGTCTTTATGATATCTTCATAAACAAGAGGAAGAAGTCTACCAGTATACAAAGTTTCATTAAAAATTGGTAACTCAAAGATCTTGCGTTCTCGTAAAGCTTAAACGAGGCCCTAAAGCTCGCGTTTTCAGGGCATCCTACGCAATCTTAACTTCCGATCGTGTGTTTTCAGAGACCTCTAGAAAAACCGGATGGCCTGGACGTGTCCGATCAGAGCAAGGTCCATCCACAGCACCTCTGTGAGAAATGCAAGACCCTGGGTTATTATTGCCGAAGAGACCAGTAAGAGTTTAAGCTAGTAGCTTCGGAGCTAGCGTTAAATCGACGATGCCTTAAAAACGAATTCTCGTTCTTCGAAATGGGGAATCGTGGTCGAGCGCGTTGATCTGTGATAAACTCGCACGGATGAATAAATATAATCGTCGACGCGACCGAAGCCATCGACGAGCAAGAGAAACATTATATATGTATATTTTTCTATACAATGATCTGCAGATTTGTTGTTAACGAACGATGATCCTTGAGATTCGCTAGTTCGGTTCTTGATACGCGTTCAAACGTACTGTTTACTTGTCAGACTACGGACCGGAATACACGTCAGTAGTCAGGGACGCGCTAAAACGATTACGGCTCTAGGAGCTAATTATAGTTGCTCTCGGTCTAGGGGAACACGGCAACTTACGCGCGCGCGCGCGTCCTGTTCGCATGATCCAGGTACAATTTATAACGAGATTAATGTAAATGCGCGCCATAGAACTTGCGTGGAAATAACGACATCCAGTGTACTTCGTCAGTTATGCCTGACAAAGTACGTCGACATCCCTGTTAACGTCACGTTTCTATTTGCTTCTACAAGTTGAGTCCTTCAGTTCGACGTCTGCGCTTTGTCCACTAAAATTGTGTACATTGAGAAACCTAAGCGATACGAATACCTTTTCTCGCACATCGGACGTACAGCTTGTAACAATCTCCTTCTCCACGAGTCTAAAACGAAAATGCAAAATAACATCTGTTAATTTTCATTTAAGATTGTCCGATAAATGGAAATAAAAGGGTACTTGAAATGGTTGTTCCTTGTAAATACGGATACCATATGTCGCCGAGTTCTTGTTTGCAGTTACGAAATCACTACAAATCCATGATCATCCTATATATTTCTTGCGTATGTATGTACAAAGTGACGTCAATAAAACGCGACCGCGACATCGTACAGGCGTCGCAACGCGCAAAAGAATTGTCGAGTCATCTAAACCTATGCGATCACCGGGATGTCACGTATTTATATATATAGGGGAAGAGAGAGATCGACCCTCTGCTCGTAAATTGCATTGTATGTACATATATGGGGTGTAACATAATATGTGGAAACAATAAAATAAGTTCGTATAACCATATGTCCAATATCGTTTTGTTTTCGATATCTCGGAAGCGACGTTTGTGTTCCAGTAATACTTCCCGGTATACTAATTACAGTGGAAACTCGATAATCGCAAGAAAACGAATCTCAAATATCGTGTGAATAAATATTGACTCAAAACACTCGTGCAATTATCGAGGTGACCAACCAAGTTAAAAAAGGGATCCTACTTATTATGACATATACCCACTACCTGTGACCCATGTATACGTATACCCTATGATTCAATAAAAGCGTTACAAGCTATTACCTCGGAAACCAATGAAGATTATCGACTTCATTTTCTTTTCGAATTAAATGATCCAGGGAGATTAAGCTTTTCATATGCACCAAATTGAAGGCTCTAGATTTTTTTTACAATGAAAGATGGTACTATTTTTTTGTTATATGTACATAGCTTTTACCAAACTGAATAAAATAAAGCAACGGGCGATCGAAGAAAAGAAAATGAAGTTGATATCTTCTTCGGTTTCTGAAAAAACAACTTGCGACACTTTATTTGAACCGCACGGTATATGGATATATTTTACATATACGTATATATTAATAATAATATCGATTACATTGTAATATATTATTATCAATATATTGCCATGCTAACATATACATAAAGCCGAAAATCCAGTTACTATTACGTCTACTGATTTTTCTCTTCCAGTTGGAACCAAACTTGGAAATTTCTTTTCCACGGACAAAGAAATTCGTGCTCCATACAAATATTTATATCATACAATATACATAACGAATGTACAGTGGTCAAGGATTAGTCACGGCGAATAGTCGATCCGCCGCGGGATCCTCGCTAAAATACGCCGCAGAATTAAACATCGTCGCCGCCGTAGAATCTACAGATGTCGTCTGCAAAGAAAATATTCTGATTATTATTCGCCTTTTCGTGTATTAAAGTTAACGCTAATTGTATGATACAAACTAATGAAAAGAAAAGAAACGGAGGGAATTGTGCTAAATCGATGCATCGTGGAAATAGAACGTCTCGCAAATTTACGCGCAGCGCAACAAAGCGAAATGAAAAACAATTGTCCTCGTCTTGAACCTCTTCAGCCCTAGGAAACGGAACTCGGTGGAAAAGATACGAAGAACCGAAAATGTGTAAATTTCATACGCCGCCTTTTACCTTAGATCGTTTCTACAATTTTCTGAGCTCCATCTAATTTACGAGTTCAATATATCTCTTGTATCGATTATACGTTTTTTTTTTTTGTTACTACACCCTCCAATAGCTAACTTTCTTCAGCACAGGGCTGTAAGAGGTCAGAACATCTACAACCAAAGCGAGCATACGAACACAAAGATAATCAAAAAATCGAAATGAGAAAATTATCAAAGCTGCCAGAATATACGACGAGGATCGATCAGCAACCTGATAGGCTCCTGCTAGAATGCAGGACATTGATTCACCTCGGACGAGTTCGCGCGATGCGAGGAGTTCATCGTTCCAACGTCTTGCGGTCCCCGCTTATACGGTATATACTGTACAGAGTGTTGCTGTTGTTTCCATTCTTCGTAATTGATCAAGACGTCGTGCTCTTGCTCGTTGCTCTGACTAATCTTTGGTAATCGTTCAAAATCATCTTCGTCCGTTGATATTCGCTTCTGCTCTAAATATTCGATGCTCGTGTGACGGGTGGATTGACAAACGTCGAACACTTGTTGCGCGGCTGGTTGCACCGCGACTGGACTAGAAACGCTCGGTGGCTGCTGATTCACCAGCGTGATCACCTGTTGCGATTCTTTGATCTCGAATGACAAGGGCGCCAAGGGTATCGAGATCGACACGGGATTGTTCGTTGGGCTAGAACTTGGAGTTTCCGTCACGGATACAGGTTTCGTCTCTTTTTCTTGGCACGGCGAATGTTCCGTTTCACTGGCTGGCACGCTTACCGGCTGCAGCGCCAAGGACCCAGAAAACGACGTTTGCTGTTGCTGCTGCTCGACCAAGCTGATAACTTGTGAAGTTTGCTGCGCCTGTAACGGTATCGGGGGCGGAAGTGGTTCAGAGAACAGTTCAGCCTTCAAATCGGGCAAGAAACTGTCGATAGTTCTCCAGGTAGGCGCCCACAAATTCGAGTTCGGAGCCAACACATTGGCGGAAGACATCACCAGTAGCATGTTCTTCAACGATTCGGGTATCGCTTCAAAGAGGAGCTCGCTGTTGTCCGCGTGCATGTAAGCCCGTAACAGGTCTAGAACGGTGAGCCAGAGAGGCAAGAACCCGGGAAGAGTAAGCAGAGGGTTCAGGTGATGAAGGAATACTTTGGATAGTAACATCGCTGCTCTGACCCTTGTTTCCTCCACGCCGATAGGATCGTTCGATGCTATCGGCCCCAGAAGCTGAGCCAGCAGAGGGAAAAGCACCTGCTCCAAACACTGAGACCATTCCACCGCCGACAACTGAGTTAAATCGTGGGCGAGCAAAGTGCTTTGAAGATACGTTATGGCTGCGGTACGAACTGGTCTGCGAGCATCACAGCACAATCTCGCTATGCCTTGCAACAAAGGCCTCCATACCTGCGACCACAGAGAGACTCCTTCCATGGCGTTACCCTCCTCTGCCCACCATCGAAACACTTGAGCAGTTCTGGTATGCAGCGTGTGCATCAGATCTAACAACTGAATGGAACTCTGCTGGTAACCGGCGGCTTCCTTCGTCGTGTTACACACTCTGCTCCTCTTTCCCGTGCTCTGAAGAACCGCTTCGGCAAAGGTCCTCACGCAACGAATGCACAGCTCGAAATTAAATGGAGTGACATGCGCTACGTCTCTGACTAGAAACGTTAAGCTTTCGCAACATTTAGCAAGAGCAGCAGGATCGTGCGGTAGCAAGTCGCGATCCAGAACGATTGTATCAGCGGCAACTGGCAGAGGAGCCTCCGTTCCAGTGGGAGACATTAGCGCCCACTCTGGTACGGGACTGATGGGTCTAGGATCCAACACCGACGTTCTAGAATTGGTGACCTCGTCTAGGACTGTGTTCGACTGCTTTGGTGACAACGCACCAGCGCCGGCACACTCTAACAAACTGAACACCACTCGCCAATCTTCTGTGCTGTGAATATTAGCAGCACCGGTTTTCAACAATTCGAATAAACCATAAGCAATTTGACGCGCGAGGGGCGCGGCGGTCGCAGACGGCAGATGAGTCAATGGTAATAGCGGAAGCAGAACGGTCCATGCGCATTCTTCTCCTCGCAACAATCGGATTGCTAGCCTCAGCATTCCAACGGCCACCCTTTCAAGAAGATAAGGATGATTTTCTCGCGCGGCTGTTGTCAACAGTGCGTCCAGGTGCGGCTGCACTATCGGCCAAATACAAGTCACTCTGTCACGATTCTGAATGGTTACTTCTAGCAGTAACTCCAATAGGAACACCGACACGTCTTCATCCTTAGTATTGGAGAACACTAAAGCACCGATAAGAGAGCGGAGAGATTCAACCTGCAAGAATTTGCTTTCCTCGATGATCTGTTTGAGATTGCAGTTGGCTACAAATTCGATGACTCTTTTTCTTGCGGTTGCCTCCGCGGGATGAGACATACGCGAGGTATCCAGAGCTATGTAGGAATACAAACTGGAGAATATTCCTTGATCCACCGGTGGTGATTTGGGCGTAGTTGGTTCCCGAAGCAAAGATACCTTTCCTGATGGATCTATAAAATCTTCTCCCTCGACGAGGCTCTTTGGTAACAGCCTTGCTTTGTACAATGATTGCAGACAATCGACGATGTTCTTCCATGATGCTCTTATCGCGTCTCCGTGCATACGAGAGATTTTGAAAAGAGTACGCGCGGCTAGCTGACACTTGCCGCTACGACCAAGATGCAGTACCACTTGTTCAGGTTCGGCGCCAGTCGCAAGACCCGTGAATTTGCATAAACTGACCACGAGCGTGTCTAAATCACTGCTCATACCATAATAAGCACTAATTGAGGCGCAACTGAAACGTGAGAAGAAAGACACCATTATAATCATTCAATAAAATCGTTTAAATTTAGATTTGATAAGGCGCAACAAACCGAAGAAATGTATCCGCGACTCGACGTTGTAAAGCTTTATCGGGCGCTTTGTCGTATGCTCTACAAAGTGCGCTAATAATAGGAGCCCATGCCTGCTCAGCCAATTCCTTGTCTATAAATTCACCAGCATTTCCAATTTTTAAATAGAAGGTCTCAGGTCCGGCACCTCTGCGCAATAATACTTTCCATAAGTAATTGTCTTTCACCAAACCAGTTTGTTCAGCTGGCATTACAATTTCCTCGTTCCTAATAATTATATTATTCAGTTAGTTATAAAACCGAGCGTTGAAGCTGTTAATAAATGGTAGGTAATAAAAGAGTCATACTTAATAGAAGTATATATTTCATCGAGCATCTCTTGATCGAAATCAGCACCACCGTTAACCTTTTTTAAATTCCTTTTAAACTCATCTGCAGTCATCGGATTATTCTGTCGTTTTACGTTGTAATTATGTTGATCAACGTTCAACATAATTACGGCGTATGCCAAGGTAAACGCTGCATCGGCTGAAGTAAACGGCTTGCCATTACTATCCTGAGAAAACAAATGGCAATCTACGTTTATTCTCGTAGCGTCATCATATTATATAAATTGCCGTTGAAACGGAATAACAAACTCACGTGCCAATGTTCCGCAAACTTTTCAAGCAACAAAGAGATAAGTGGCGCTTCGCCAGGAAGCCTGAATGATTCTAGATAAAGTCGTAGAGCTTGATCAACTCGTGTATTTCTCAAATCGAAATTATGAACAAAACAATTCAAAACGTTTTTATTTTCCTTTTTGCTAATGTATTCCCCGATAGCTTTCTTGTCTAGTCCAGGATTTTCCTTTAAAAACTTTGCTACTTTCTCTGGATCAGGATTACCTGGGCTACCACCCAGAAGATTGTGTTCCGTAAGCTTGGATATTCCTTCTCGTGGATTTTCATTGAATTTTTCCGTTCCAAGGACCAACCACTAAGTTTAAAAAGTCCATAAAATCATTGCACTCTCTATGCTACATAAAAAAGAAACATTGTAATGCTTAAAACGTACTCGCTTGTTTGCCTTTATAGCAAGCAATTCTTCTCGTGTCGGAAGATTCGGCGAAGCACTATGCCGCGAAGGTTTGCATAACTCTTTGTAACCTTTACACCTGATTTCCATTCCAGAAATCAACATAATTATGGCATCCAATGAAATAAATTGCATATTGTACATATTGCCCATCAATGCAGAAGCGTTCTAACAAATATTAAAGACACGACTGGAGTTCAATGAAATTATTGTATTATATTACAAATAGCAATATACCTTCGACAGAAGCTTCATTAATTCTTCGTACAAATTAGTTGAGTACAAACCGCAATCATAATTTATATATAGTTCCGCGGGTAATCCAGGTATTCGCCACAATCTTACAATGGCCTCTACAATTAATAAAAGTAAAGTTTGCATGGTAATTGAATCCTTAAATGGAATTGAATAATATTTTACATCGTGAAAAATTCATACCAAGCGCTAATTCCCGCTGATCGTATGATATTCTATTGGAGTCTGAATTTACTATTTCCATTAATTTTCTTATGTAATGCTCCATTTGGAATTTTAAATGTTCTCTTTGCGATTCAAATAATAAAAACGATACTTGCAAATCTGCCGCAAGAATCGATAATCGATCTGTGCCAAGAAGCTAAGAAATATGATTGCAATTAAATTATGTCTTTAAAAAAAATGTCAAAAAAGCAAACATCTTAATTCCGTTCTCTTACCAAGATAAGATTTCTACAGAGATCATCTTTGACGAGTGCAAGCAACGACGGAAAATTAGAAAGAGCATCTGCAGCAATTTCTAATGCTACTTGCAATAAATTGAGCCCGAGATGCATCATAACTTCGTTATTTTGTTTCTCAAGAGGGCTACACAAAGAGATAAGGGATCGAAATAATTCACGAATGCACAGAGCACCGTATGGTGCTAATTGCTGGAGTGGCATGAAACGAACTCCTTGAGCATTGACGTATTCTTCAACTTGCTCTGATTCTTTAACTGTGGATGTCTTGTATCCACTACTTATACTTTCGTCTATTGACAAATCTTCTACACTTCCTGTTGGAGACGTTATTAAATCTATACTTTTTTCATCACCAACAGATTGATTTTCTACAAAAATAATACAAACGATATAATTATTAAATTTATTTAAAATGTTGTTGTTACAATTACCTTGACTTTCTTGTTTAATTGGAGGTGTTTCCTTAATTTGATTTTGTTCGTCTGCCTCTTCTTTCTCAATGCTTTTATTTTCTGACTGTGAAATCTGTTCTTTTTCTGTCAAAGTATTTGTACTTGTCTCAGATTCATTGTTGTTCTCTTTGCATTCCATTGTATCTGTTTCATCTTGTATTTTCTTTTGTTCATCCAATTCACTTTCCTGTTTGGTGGCTTCACTTTTCTCATTTAAATCTTTTTTATTATAATCTTTAGTATCACTCTTTTCCTCCTCTGTTTTTTCAATGGTTCCTTGATCCAATGAACCCTGCATATCAACTATATTTCCTACAGGAGAAACAGTTGGTGTTGACAAATTATCTGTTTTAACTCTATCAACAGAACTTAGAAGCGGAGCTTCCATTTCATCTAAATCATTTAGATTTGGTTTTGCCTTTTGTTTGAAATGATTCTTATTTCTTTTGTTTTTACTACGAGTACTTTCCATACTGTCTGTTCTCATTTTCTGCAAAATTAAAATATGTACTAAAAGAATCAGTACAATTAGTAGATCTAATAACTTACTTTCATATTTAATAGAACTCTTGTATCATCTGCAAATTGTGGTAATCGAGTGAAAAGATGTTGCACCATGTCTCTTAAACAATGCTCGGCTGTTCTTCTCAATAATTCTACAAATATATATATGTTACAGATATTAAAAAATAAACTTAGGTATATTTAAAATCCTTACCACTAAGACGTGTCTCAAAACATATTCTGAAACAACTGGTCATAATTTCATAACTGCTTTCGTTTGAAAGGTAATCTCCTGCTGGTGATAACATAAGGGCTCTCAGAACTTGGAGTATTCTCATTAAAACAACTCCATCTCCTGATGCATCAGTTCCAACAAATCTTGCATGTGTAACAGCATCCGCAACAGCCTCTACACATTGTGCTATCACAGGATGATCATGATCTATAGCAATTGTATTATTGTGTTATTGAGTATCCCCAATAAACTATTAACTTTTACAATATAGTCCATACCAATGAGACCATAAGATATCATTTTATTAACTGCAGATAATGCAAGACTAGTAACAGGGCCTGTTGTTTCTTCAGATCTTATGATTTCTAGAAATGGAGCTAAGAATACTCCTGGTTCTAACTGAGACAAATCTTTAGCTTCGTTCAGTGCCTCTTTCAAGGTAGTTAAACTTTTTATAAGAGCATCCTGATCATCATCCTTAAATTATTAAATAAATTGTAATTATTGCAAACAATGAAATCACCTTCAAATTCCAAAATATGTAACAATACAAATGCGTAACAATCACGTAAAATAACATTGTCAGCCTTCTAAGATGTTACCATACTGTTTCTTGCAACTTGTTTGATCTGACAAACGATCAAAATAAAACCACGTGATGACGATACGTAAATGCAATTAAAACTCGATACGAATGTAGTTATTTTTTTTTTTCTTCATAATCAAAACAAGCCTTCCATCATTCATGAAAGGCTATTGACAATACGTTCTAACCTGGTAGGAATGTGATGACCATCGTGCACCTCGTCTCATAGCTGTCACTAGGAGGCAGACTTCGCTCTCAACGACGTACAGACCACCTCCCGGACAAGCCATTTTCGCAATCCTGCTCATCTTTCTCACGTTATTCGTTTTTACACCATTTTCATTCCGAAGAAACCTTACAAACAATTCGATAATCTGTAACGTCAAGTGTCAAGAGAACACTTCCAACACGATAGTCACTAACTTGTCACTTTAAGGAGGTGTTTAACAACTGCCCAAGCTTTACTAGCGATCGTTCTGCCACTTAGCAAAGAAAGTATGAATTAATCATTATTTATCCTCACAATTTATGACGTGCTAGCACTACTATTATAACAGATAGAATCTGCTAAAATGTCTAGCTAATTATATTTACACGATCCGGATTTACATCGAAATTATAACATCAATGTAATCAGAGAACATTAATTCTTGCGGTCTAAGAGAAAGTCACTAACTCCGTCATTAACAAAATAATCTGCTCGTAGGATATGGAGACTCCATATCCAGAAAAGCACCGCTGGGTGCACACGCCACATGCCAGATACGCATACGTGAGCTCGTGGAGTTTCGGAAAGTCGACAAAGGCAAACTGACGCATGCCCTCTTTCTCGATTCTCCGAAGCTGCCCGAAGTAATTTCGGATCGCCTCGTGGGAGTCGAGAGAGAAAGGCTCACATTTGCCTTCTCGCTCTAAACAACTGAAATCCGACCTCCCGTCAACGGCATACGATTTGGATTCTCGAGCCGAGATTCTCGACTGCCCAGACATTTTTACTTTCCGACCTATGTAGGCGCACATAAGCAAAGTACCCATAATGAAAAAAAAATTTTGTAAAATTTATTTTACGGAAATACACGTTTTAAGACCTCCTGATCATATTTTAATTATTGAAAAAAAAGAAATTTTTTTTTATTCCCATGTATGAGCACACATATGTATATTATTAATACGATTGAATATAAATAGCTGAATGAATTTAAATGAAACTTTACATTTAAGTTTTATGTTCTCATTTCAAAGGCGTGTGGACGGATTCAAATACGTGAACACTAAACGTAACGATGTAATTATATTATTTAATATTTACTAACTATTTAACATAAAGAACATAAAAGAAAGACATAAAACGTAAACGTAAAAGATCATAAACGTAAAACTATGATTGCTCTCGACTAACGTTCGATACAGAGTGACGTTCCTGCAGTCAAAGTCGACCCTTCCTTATTCCTATCTTATAATAATGATCTAAACAAAACGCACGTTCGAGACGCAGTTTCTAAAACGTATTTCAGCTTAAACCTAAACACCTCACTCGATACCTACTCTAGCTTAGACTAAACACTCCTATCGACGCAAACGATAACGGTTCTCCTAGCCACGCATACACTCCTTACAGATTATACCTCTTGTTTCATAGTTGTTCCGATATATAGGCATAATGTATAAAAAATCTTTTAAATGTTTCATATAAATCTTAGGACGAATTAAATTTTATATAAAAAAAATTATATAAACTTTTTCTCTATCTTCTCTAGAAAAGAAAACATTAAATGAAATCTTATACATTACATGCTTACTTAAATCGCATTGAAAACGAATACCACAAATGTTTTAGAATAATGTGCAAAATGTGATTGCGATTTTCGCTAAGACAAATTGAAAACTCGTTTCTAACAAGGAAAAGTTGGAATGGTACCAGGTTTTGGGTTAGGTTTTACTTTGAGATATTATTAAAGTTATTACAGGTACTTATCTTCAAAAATAGAAATACGTTCAACAATCAGCGTGGCGTGAATGACAAGGTATTTGCCTGCAAGTTCCGAGCTTCTTCTGCTCTGCAGGTTCAAACCCTGCCAAAACAAATCCTTTTCTTTTATTTTTTCAATCATATTTTAATCGTACACTAAATGTGACATTATATTTTTGTCTGACCTTCGAATATTTTTTTTTAAAGTTATATTTAACCGATTACATTTAACATATGTTATTTTCAATGTACGAAGTACATGAATCTGGATGGTACTTTTCACAAAAACAGTCAAAACATAAAAATTTCAAACACCACGTACATTTACTGAAAGTTTTGTTTTCACAGAAATTACAAAATTTTGTATTTAACTCTGATGGAAAGGCCGCTTCATTTACATTGATAAAATGTGAACGATTTTCGGATAGTCGTACCTTGTAGCTCGTACTTTTTACCTTATGCTTCAGGTAAAAAGGGATATAGCTGGGAAAAATAGTTTTATGACATTACCTGCTAACTTATGTTACTGTTCTACAATGAAACGCTATGTTTTGTACCTTTAAAAATATTCGACTATGTGCTTTTAAAATTTAAGATACAACCCATACTTTGTATTAAACTGGCAAACGGGATCACTTTTCCTTTGTTTCTAGTTAGTTCTATTTAGTTCGTCATAACCAATTGATACGGTTATTTCAAAACAATCGAGGAAAATCATTATTAATTAATTTCTGCAATTATTAATTCTACTGTTTTGTTTATGTTATAAAAGTAAGAACTCTTCTTATTGAAAAATACCACAGCGTGCACAATACTGGTAAAGAGTGGAATCTCATTTTAATTTATTAATTTTCAATCTTAAAGTATTTTGATTTTCAAAAATCGTATTAATAATATACATATGTGTGCTCATACATGGGAATAAAAAAAAATGTCTTTTTTTTCAATAATTAAAATATGATCAGGAGGTCTTAAAACGTGTATTTCCGTAAAATAAATTTTACAAAATTTTTTTTTCATTATGGGTACTTTGCTTATGTGCGCCTACATAGGTCGGAAAGTAAAAATGCCTGGCCAGTCGAGAATCCAAATCGTATGCCGTTGACGGGAGGTCGGATTTCAGTTGTTTAGAGCGAGAAGGCAAATGTGAGCCTTGCTCTCTCGACTCCCACGAGGCGATCCGAAATTACTTCGGGCAGCTTCGGAGAATCGAGAAAGAGGGCATGCGTCAGTTTGCCTTTGTCGACTTTCCGAAACTCCACGAGCTCACGTACGCGTATCTGGCATGTGTGCGTGTGCACCCGGCGGTGCTTTTCTGGCATCTCTGAGTGTAAACCAAATCGTGTAAACGCATACGCTATGAATACGGAAATTTCCTAGAATGTGAAAGCGAAGTATTATGAGTCGATACTCGGATATTTCACATGGAATTTAAGCGTTTTAACATTTTGTATCATTTTATCACTTATTGTGTATTTACGACTTGACAGCTGAAACTGCTGAAAGGAATTCAGGCATGAACATAGAAATATAAGAACGGAGCCAGTGTTATCAAACCGCACACTGGGGGCAGTGTGCGCAATTGCACTTCGGACAACTTCGAGGTGTGGAGAAAAAAAGTAAGTGTGAGCCTTTCTTTCTTGCTCTTGCATCGCCACCCATTCGAATTGTTGGCAAACGACAACGGCCTTTAAGATTGCTTACATTTCTCGAAAGCAGATCTGGGCGCTTTTTGAAGATTCGTTGACTTTCCATGCCAAACAACGTTATACATATGTATGCTAGGTACCGGGAAGTTGTATAACCTCTGCCATACAATCATTTTATAAAAGCAGGAATCCAGTACTAGCTTTGCTGAACACGATAAAACCCCGAGTCTGATTTTGCACTTGATAGAAATAACATGCAGTGTTTATGCGTATCTGTCTACCCAGTGCAAAATTGGACCCTCGCAACTTTACTACCGCTCGCTCAGTATGATTCGACTATAGAGTACGATAAGCGACATCAGTCTAACGTAAGTCACATTCGACTTTTAAATGGAAGGATTTAGAATGGTATTTATGTCGTATTTCTATTAGTAAGGATGGGCGTGTGGTTGAGGGATGACAGATACGACGCATTAGTAAAAAACAATAACAATTTACTAACAAAACGATAATAGTTAGCAAACCCTAATGAGAACGATAACAGTTTATTAATAGAAATGATAATGGTTTAACAATGCTTATATGATGGGGTCATGTCACGTGATGGGTGAACACAAGCGTTGCGTGAATTCTCAAAATACAACCGTGTTGGGTGTCGGACTCAGTCGGACTAGATCGCAATGACCCTTCACTTGCTACCGTACTCTACTTCCGCTTTGCCACGAGGCAAACGCAAAAAGAAGGCGCGGCGTATTTCTTACTTCTGAGCAGTGATGCCAGAAAAGCACCGTCGGGTGCACACTCACACATGCTAGATACGCGTACGTGAGCTCGTGGAGTTTCGGAAAGACGACAAAGGCAAACTGACGCATGCCCTCTTTCTCGATTCTCCGAAGCTGCCCGAAGTAATTTCGGACCGCTTCGTGGGAGTCGAGAGAGAAAGGCTCACATTTGCCTTCTCGCTCTTAACAACTGAAATCCGACCTCCCGTCAACGGCATACGATTTGGATTCTCGAGCCGAGATTCTCGACTGCCCAGGCATTTTTACTTTCCGACCTATGTAGGCGCACATAAGCAAAGTACCCATAATGAAAAAAAAATTTTGTAAAATTTATTTTACGGAAATACACGTTTTAAGACCTCCTGATCATATTTTAATTATTGAAAAAAAAGAAATTTTTTTTTATTCCCATGTATGAGCACACATATGTATATTATTAATACAATTTTTGATAATCAAAATACTTTAAGATTGAAAATTAATAAATTAAAATGAGATTCCACTCTTTACCAGTATTGTGCACGCTGTGGTATTTTTCAATAAGAAGAGTTCTTACTTTTATAACATAAACAAAACAGTAGAATTAATAATTGCAGAAATTAATTAATAATGATTTTCCTCGATTGTTTTGAAATAACCGTATCAATTGATTATGACGAACTAAATAGAACTAACTAGTATGAAAATCATTATTAATTAATTTCTGCAATTATTAATTCTACTGTTTTGTTTATGTTATAAAAGTAAGAACTCTTCTTATTGAAAAATACCACAGCGTGCACAATACTGGTAAAGAGTGGAATCTCATTTTAATTTATTAATTTTCAATCTTAAAGTATTTTGATTATCAAAAATCGTATTAATAATATACATATGTGTGCTCATACATGGGAATAAAAAAAAATTTCTTTTTTTTCAATAATTAAAATATGATCAGGAGGTCTTAAAACGTGTATTTCCGTAAAATAAATTTTACAAAATTTTTTTTTCATTATGGGTACTTTGCTTATGTGCGCCTACATAGGTCGGAAAGTAAAAATGCCTGGACAGTCGAGAATCTCGGCTCGAGAATCCAAATCGTATGCCGTTGACGGGAGGTCGGATTTCAGTTGTTTAGAGCGAGAAGGCAAATGTGAGCCTTTCTCTCTCGACTCCCACGAGGCGATCCGAAATTACTTCGGGCAGCTTCGGAGAATCGAGAAAGAGGGCATGCGTCAGTTTGCCTTTGTCAACTTTCCGAAACTCCACGAGCTCACGTATGCGTATCTGGCATGTGGCGTGTGCACCCGGCGGTGCTTTTCTGGCATCTCTGGTCATGGGTGGGACAGCGACGGTGGTGCCACATTCATAATCGAGTCTTATGATAAGACTTTTATAACAGCCGACTCTAGTACAAGTTTTGTCTATGATAGTACAAAGTGCGTTGTTTTACATATTTTGAACTGTAAGTATTATTACCTAAAGTACATAAAATTTCTGTTGCATTTCAAATTTTGTAAATGTTACAAAATGTTTACATACCAGCATTCATTCAATTTCCAAATAAATAATATTATACAAGTAATACGTGGTGAAAGTAAAAAATACATTCATATTCAAACACCTTATCAAAACAATCGATTTCTCTAAATTATGTAACAGTGTTTTGTTCTATCACCAACCTAAAAAGCGATAAATGACGTCGCAAGAACGGTTAACCATGTTTTCCTTTTTCTATCAATCAATATCTTCATTACCGCGACTTTTATTACCAATATGACAAATATAATTCTCGTAAACAGCCCGAATTATGAAGGCTGTGTGAAAGGTGACCAAGTCATTAACTTTACGAGAAAATAACGAATTACATTAACTGTTATGTTTGAAATGATCTGACAAGATGGAAACTACCATGCAGGTATCACTTTGCCATTACACTAACCACTTCTTTGCTTGATGTTTTGGATTCAATTTCTAGAACAGAACTAAGTGTCATCATGCCTGTCACAAAAAGCGACGTCGATCAACTCATTGCATTAGATAAAGTGGTGATATTTTCCAAAACAAAATGTCCATATTGTAAAATGGCTAAGAAGGTACTATTGATTTCTTTGTGTGCATGCGTGTGTGTATATATATATATGTGTGTGTGTTTCATTACATTTTGTTTAACATTGTTTTAGGTGTTTGATAGTTTACAACAAAAATATACTGCAATTGAATTAGATGAGAGAGATGATGGAGATGAAATCCAATCTATATTAAGTAATATAACTGGTGCAAGAACAGTACCTAGAGTGTTTGTCGACAAGGTATGTTTGGGAGGTGGTACGGATGTACAGAAACTATATGACAACGGAGAACTACAAAAACAATTAGCTTGCTAATACAATGTCCGCATTATGGAAATTACTGATTCATGTTTTTTTTTTCTTTGATGTAATAAAAATTGTTGATTAAATAAATCACGAAAAATGTTGAAAATTATTTTTGGTCCTATAATAACTAGTAAATAAAAATGAGTAAGAAGCTACAAAATTATTACTAAATGGATTTATCATGTCTGCTCGTAAATAAATTAAAATATACAATAGTAGATGAAACAACATGGTTTTAGACTTCACCCAAAGATGTTATTATATGCCTTATGTAAGAAGTATAATGCTTTTTAATGTCTGATGTACCCTGCTCTTCAGATTTTTAATCGTTTTGACTATAATTAAATTTTATTTAAAGATAGCAAATTCAAAACGATGGGTAACTTAAAAAAAACAGTCGTTCGATAATTTGATTTAAAACGGGCACAAGGTTTTAAATAAAAGGTCTGAAAAGTGGAAAAAGATATAATATAGTCATGAAAAATAATGATGAGTAAATTAACTGAGTAATAGACACGATATGTTTGTTTATTAATCAGTAAATGGTAATTAATGTATCGAATTTGTAATTAAAATTACGTACGAACACGATATATTACTATTGGAATGATATGTATATACATAATACAGTGTGACGAAAGGGAATCGTAAGAAACTATTTCGTTGTTCGTTACTAAGAGCCCACGATCATGTATACGTATGTGAGTCGATTCACCTAAAAATATCCACAAAACGGTGAAACAGTTTATCAGTGGTGCATCGTGAACGCAAAAAAATGGATTTTGCACAGTATCGTAAAATTGCAATCTACATTTTGACGTTCATGGCTTACGCATGGTCTGGCTACGGTGCTGGTTTATTGTTAAACTTAAAAGATGCCGTATTAGCAACGGAATCGATTTTCCAAGATTTATTTGAAAATGCAATCACGGTAGCGAGAAAAATCAAGGACATTCATGAAGTATTTGACGCAGCAGTGGAAGAAAACTGTATTTTCCAGTGTCCAGGAGGTACGTACTTAACCTATCATCGACAAAACGTAATTTTTAAATTCACTTATCTTCAACGTCAAAGCTACTCCACAATTTGCTTGAGGTCGCAGTGCTATTGGTTAAAATCTTTTCTACATTGAAACATCACAACTGGTTCAATTTATCCTTTTCTGTAGGTCTACTTTTTAAAAGTTACATTAACGTGTTATGTAATTGTACTTCACACAATGAACGGTATCAAATATTTTAAACAATTAGAAAAATGATAATCTGAAAAATTACGAATATTTTTAGTGGGTGATATGAAATATGACTGATGCGTTTATTTCTCTAATGTGGTTAATGCTAATTGGTCGTTATTTTTTGTCCGCTATGACGCGGAATATTTTATGATTTCAGGTATCACACCTAAACCTGATTGGAATCATACACCGCAAAGCAATGGATGCGGGTCTTTAGGAATAGAGGTATGCAAACTATCCGAACCAGATGTGTCTACTGGTGTTTCAGAGAATTAGCGGGAAAAATTGTATTAAACGATATAATGATTTTAGATAAATCAAGAGTACCTGCCGTTAGCGGAAATGACCAAATGTTGTGATGCGCATGACATTTGTTATGATACTTGTAATTCAGTGAAGGATACGTGCGATTTAGAATTTAAAAAATGTTTATACAAATACTGCGATGGATATCAAACACCCGCGATTACAAAAACATGCAAAGGTGCCGCAAAAATGCTCTTTACAGGTACGACTATTTTAGGATGCAAAAGTTACATGGATGCGCAAAAAGAAGCCTGTTACTGCGGTGACAAATGGAGTAAGAATAAGAAACCTAAAAGAGCCGCCCAAGCTGGCGGAGAATTATAAAATTATATGAATCTCTAATTTAACGTGTAATTAGGTGAAACGTATTCCAGTATTTATTTATGAATCTCTAGCGATTAGACGAACGATTTTATACTCGTTGTACTGGCGCTAAACACGTGGCAAATTAAAAACTGTACCGGTCCTCATAACATTTTATACTTGACCAATAAAAATATGATTTCAATAGTAAAAAAGAGTGTTCAGTGTTTTCCAATCCTGCGCGATTTGTATTATGATCGAAAATTTTTGTTTCTCTCGAGAAACAAGGGAAGGCTGACAATGTCATTTCGACCACAATTTATGGCACTTTTTCGATCAAAAAAATTATCAAGTAATGCAGTTTGCACAATAGAAATTTGCTAAGAGTATAGAAAAGTTTACGAGCAGAATGGGAAATATCGGATCGACACAACCACCTAAAGCGCGAAAAGATCGGAAGAAGGAAAGTGGCGACGGGTAAGACAATTTCTGGTTTATTTAGTCCACCTCGATTATTATTGCTTGCTAGCGAGCTAATCTGAATTCTTTTCGTCTTAAACAATTTAGTTCAAACGGTCATGTATAAGGCGAAGAACATAATCAATGTGGACTAATTACTTAGTAAATACTCTGTGCAATTAGCGAGATCCTAAATCGTCTCTTTGAAACATTAAAGATAATACATAAAAGCGTACTTTGCACTTTTTCATTTTGGGTAGCGTAGATGACCGTCCCGGAAAAAATAAGAGGGCTGGCAACACTTCTGACACTCGCACCAATAGGAGTGAAACAATAAAGTATCGATGCACTAATCCTTTCATCATCTTCTTTCTACGTTTACGTAGCAAAAAGCCTAAGGAACACGTTACAGTAGTTGCACGCGCAGCTGGGAAACTATGGACTCGAATGTCCCCAGATCAAAGAAAGAAATATATAGATTTAGCGAAGGCCGAAAAGAAAAGACGAGGAGGAACAAGGAAACGAAAATGCAGGTAATTACTGCATATGAAGCATTTTCGTTTCTTCATTTTCACGTACAATAGACAATTTTCATTTAGAAAAAGAAGATAGCGCTCGTAGTCTACCAACCAACGGAAGACTAAACAAAATCAAACAAGTGTAAGATTCATTCAACTACCCGCGTATGGAACGCAACCGTACCGTCATCAGGCTATTCGTGCAAAGTATCTTTAAAAAGTCCATATTTTTGATTTCTTTTTATTTGTTAGTAGTTTTTTTAGATCTATGTACAATAAATATTGGTGTATTTTTACACTATTAATGACCTTTCTTATCCGTTTAAAGAGTTACGCTAAAAACCAGGCAGCAAATTTCTGCCTCTCGCACAAATTCTTGTCGTCGTGTCTCGTCTCTGAAAAAATTGAATTCGTAACGTACCATAAATATATTATTATTATTTCGTTTGCGACCGTTCCGCGAAGCGTCGCCGACGCGAGGGAGGGAAATTACAATTCAAAGTACACGAATGAGCACCATTTTTATAAATTTCCCCACAGACAGGTCGAAGGGAAGCGCACGAGACCTCGCTTTTCTCTTTACGATTCGATACAAAAAATAATTTTAGCATAAATTTTTGCGACGCTCCGTGGAAGAGCTCTATGTTACGCAGTCATAACCCTTCTTGAAACTAGAGTGTGTGGTGTGTGTATGCGCGCAAACGCGTGTGTGTGTGTGCTTCTCGTTCAAAGTACTATATATAATAAAAACATTACATACAATAAGGAGTAACAAACAAATGCTCGTATGTATGGGTATCTGCCTGTGTCTCTGTGTGCATGTAACATGGCATTTAAACCAAGTAAACTAACTGTATATCGGAGTTGGGTATGGTGTGATAATAATAGTAATTATAATATTAATAATTATAGAAATAATAATATTAATAATGATAATAGTAATTATAGAAATAATAAGAATGATCACGATAACGGTAATATCGCGTTAAAGGATGGATGGGTGGTGGCGATAACGAGAAACGCGGTGTCGATGTGATGATAAATGATGAATAACGGTGTTTGGACAACGAATGCGTTGACGCTGATCCCGATTTGACGATCATAATAATTAATTCGCAATAATACAATTCGACTGATCGTAGCAGTAAGTATTTTATGATACAGTAAAGTACAGCGTGCCTCGAAGAAAACGTAAACAACAACGTTCAACAATCGATAATATCAAACAGAATATTCTTTCTAAGTATATATATAATATATATACTATTATACACAAAACGTAACACTGTTGCGATTTCAGGAGGGAATGCCCTACTAAAAAATAGGTATTCGCTTTGTCGATCGTAAATTCAAAAGTAGGAGGCGAAAGTGTATATATGTATTATATATATCTTCTCACCTCGATTGATCGACAGATCAACGCTCAAGGTACATAATAGTTAATCATTTTATAAATGCACAAGTTACGAACCCATGCTTCGCAATTTACTATTCGATACCGCGATTGTATTTCATACATATACATATAGTGACAAGTTAAAAATCCTTTTAATACGAACTCTTCAGTTCATAAAACACAAGCGCATCCATCGATCGCGTGTGGTTTGGAGAGAGTGCATAAAATCTCGTAAATAACTAACGCTAAAAAGAATGCGTAAATACGTTTCGACAGAGTGTGCGAGACAGAGAAAACGTGCTCTAAACTCGATGGTGGTAATGTACCTAATAAATGATATGCGAATTGTTTAGATAGAAAGATCAGAAAGTCTATTACAGCACTTTGAAAGATGGACGAGCGTGGAAGCGAATGCAAGGGAGTAACGAGTCCTATGGTCGGAACAAAATCAAGAACCGTGTGCCTGCAGATTTTGGTGAAGAAAGGAGAGACAGAGCAGCGATGTAGCAAAACTGTACATAATGTAGATAGCTTCTGTCAATAGCCTTCAACGGCTAATTGATTTTGTCGCGACTATAACAGTGGTAGCTACTCTCGGAGCTACTCTGCGTTGCTGGAGATCGTATCGAAGAGAGCGTTAACTTGTCCAACAAAGTGTGATCGTTGCTAAATCGATGAACCACGAAGAATGTCTGTACTTCTTACGTGAATTCGTCGCTGTGGGTAAGAAGAGACTGTGCGTTGAGATCAATGGGGCTAGCGTGGCCTCATTGAACTGTTCAGGGGCTGCATAAGGCCTCCGTTAATGTAACCGTGATAAGTTGTGTACACCGCCGCTGGATTCTGCTGATGAGGATCCTGAGGATACGTAGGTACATTCACCACTCCCACCGGGATTTGGCTGGCTTGGTTCATGAAGCCACCAAGTTGCGCAGCTTGATTCATGTAACCGGTGGCGGGCTGTGCTACCCGGTAGCCGTACTGGGCCATGAGATTCGTATTTAACGCCACGTTAGGACTGACTCTGCTAGCAGCACTTTGCATCTGTGGACAGGTACTTCCAGGATCGAGAGTTTGTCTATACAGACTCTCACTTGGATACGGTTGAGTAAGAGATGCCATGTTCGCGTTTGCTGATGACCTCGAAGTCGACCTACTGGGTGGTCCAGGTGTACCAGGTGGTGGTACCGTATTAACGTTGTAGTAATTTTTTGCGTAACCGAGAGGTACTTGAGGCGGAGTTGGTAATTGTCTCGACGTTTGCGGTGGCGTCATGGTGTGGGGAATAGGAGGTGGCGGCGTCAGGTTCATCGCTGGCGGCGGGGTAGGCGGTATCATCTCTAAGCCGTTTGTCAATTGTTGCAATTTTGCTAGACTGCAAGAGTTGGTTGTTTGGTGGTTTCCAGAGGCCGACAAGGAAGAAGCAGGTGTGTGCGAATGCGGGGGCATCGCACTTGTCTGAATGTAAAAATTCGTTGCCGTAGTGCAGGGCGTTGGTGCACCTGATCTGCTGCTTCGATGCTGAATCACATATGTATTTTGCGTGGGAAAAGTCTGCGAGGCAACGGCCATGTAGTTCCCTTGTGAGATAACGGCCATGTTGTGCGAATGAGCAGCGTGCGTATGAGAATGCGGATGTGGTACGGGCGGTACGCTCATTGACGAAGACTGTTGATACTGCGGTGGCACGTGTGATGTATGTGCCACTGTTGTGTGACTCGTGTGAGAAGTCGTGTGTTGAGAAGAGGTTTGAGTGTGCGGCGTAGGCGGCGTAGTTCGATGAGATCTACTGCTCTGCTGGGCTGACCTCGATCTGTGAGTGGTCTGCGAACCGCTGGCTCTCTTATTACTATGAGATTGCGTTTGCGATTGTTGTTGCTGTTGTTGTTGCGGATGTGTAGACTGCTGCTGCTGAGACTGTTGCTGCTGTGGTTGAGACTGACTATGTGTCATACTTTGGCTTTGCGTTTGTTGGGCCAGAGACAATTGTATCGGTTGCGGTGTGTGAGACTGAGGCAAAGGTTGCGGACTTTGTGTCGGTATACTTTGCGGTGTATGAGATTGCGGTAGAGGCTGCGGTGTGTGGGATTGAGGCAACGGCTGCGGCGTATGGCTCTGAGGAAGAGGCTGAGGACTCTGCGTCGGTATACTCTGAGGGGTGTGCGACTGCGGTGTCCTGGGCTGTTGAAGAGGTTGCGGCGTATGAGGTTGATGCATCGGATGAATACTGACGTGCGCCGGTGGAGTATGCTGAGGCATAGAACAATCAGTGTACTGAACTTGCGGTGATATATTTACAGCCACGGAAGTAGATGGTGTCGGTATCTGCATAGAAACAGAAATCGGAACGGTAACCGTAGATGGCATCGACGGCAGAGCACTAGGTGGCCTCTCGACGCTGTTTTGGGATGCGAGATCGCTGGCTATCGAGGTAGGAGACTCCAGTCCCAATTGACTGACGTCCAAGTCACATTGACTGTAATGCAACGAGTGCACCGAATTCGTGGTGGAATCAGGCGTATAAACTCCCATGGAAGGTAAGTCTGGTTGCGAAGGCGGTGTCCGTTTCACCGAACCGGGATTGTCCAAATGAGGTGTTGTCTTGCCGCTCTCGGGCGAGTTTTGCTTCATCTCTTCCGGCTGAGTCTGAAGATGTATGGTTTCCTGCTGTTCTATAATAGAAACTGCTTTTTCTTGCGGCGTAAGTGGTTCGGTTTCGGGCGATGCAATATTCGAAACGATAGACAATTCTTTCTTTTCCGTGGGGGTCGCGGGAGAAGCTTCTATCTTTGGCTGTGTCATCTCCTCCTTCGAATCCTTGAGCGATAACCTCTCGGAAATCGTCTCTTCCTTAGAACTATCTTTATCCTGAGTAATGGCTTCTAACTTTTCGCTTTCTTCTTCCTTAGGTGAAGAAATTTCAGGTACCAATTTCAATGTTTCCGGGTTACAAATCACTTTTTCAGTCTCTGAGTCTTTATCACATTCCTTTGGAACTTCGTTCTGTTCCTCCATGATTTGCGGTTCCGACTCCACCTTCTGTGAAAGGGGTTTGTCGGCTTCTGCTTCTGGTTCCTTCTCTTGCGTGTCATCCTCCGTCGTATTCTCAGTTTGCTCGGTTGAATTGTTTTCTGCGTTGCTCGAACACTGTGCCACGGATTTCGGTCTCGGTGCAGGTACTTCTTCCTCCCCTTCGTCTTCATCTCCACCTTCATATTCGCCTGGACTCGCGGACGCCGTTTCCGTTTCCGGTGGAACGGTTGGAACAACACTTTCTTCCACGCTATCGCTTTTATTCATTTCGGTATTGTTCTCTTTAGAAACAGAAGGTAATTCCGGAACAGGCGACTGTTTAAGGTCGGAAGAATCAGCCTTCTCCGTATCAGGTGGTGGTGGTGACAAGGAAGGAGGAGGTATCACAGGATTTTCTGTTTTACTGCCTTTCGTAGGACTTTCCGGTTTTAACTGAGGCATTTTCAAAGCTTCCTTCTCGGCTTTCGCTCTTCCTCTCCTCGACATCGGTGAAGTCTTCATGTCCTTCGTTTCATCTTTTCCATTACATTGACCGTCTTCCGCCATTTTCTTTTCTTTCGCTTGTTTCGCCTGCAAATACTTGGTTTGTCGACTGGTTACCTTCAGTAAGATGTCATCCACTTTACACTGCTTTTTCGCTGGTTTATGTACGGTTGTCGACGGTGTTGACGTTACTTTAGGTGACGTTTTCTTTTCCACTTCCGTCGAGTTGTCCTTGTCTTTCGAAGAATCTTTATCCTTCGTCTTCTCTTTTTCCTTCGTTTTCTCTTTTTCTTTCGGCTTCTCCTTATCTTTTTCTTTCTCCTTCTCCCTCAACGATTCGCGAGTTCTTTTCCTCGAGCTAACTTCCACTTTCTCTTCCTTTTCCTCAACTTCAGTCTTTTCGGAATGTTTTCGTTTTCGTAAAGGAGTTACTACCGACTCGGTGAAAGGAATTTTCGGTGTTCTGATCCTTCGTCTCGAAATCGTTGACACGGCTGACACAGGCGTCGCTTTCGCTGAATTCGTATTTTTCGACGTGGTCACGGACCGAGAATTCCTCGGTGTCGTCGGAACATTCTTCACTTCGACTTCCATTGGCTCCTTGGGAGAGTCAGAAATATCAGCAGTCAGAATCTCCTTCTCAGACTCCTTGGTTTCCTTTGCCTCTTTCGCATCTTTCGCCTCTTTCGCCTCCTTCGTTTCTTTCGCCTCTTTCATTTCTTTAGTTTCTTTCATTTCTTTAATTTCTTTCGACGTTTTCGACTCTTTCGTTTCCTTTGCATCTTTTACCTCGTTAGAAACGTCCTTGTGTACATCAGATTTCTGTGAATTTTTCTGTTTCAACGGCGACGACTTCCTCTGTGCCAATCTTCTTCCTCTAGGCTTCTTCTTGATCTTTACTTTCTGAATCTTTTCAACGATCGTAGGTACTTGCTTAGGTTCCGTTACAGGAGAAGACTCGGAACTGGTATCGCCACTTTCCTCCGGACTTTGATACGGATTAGGAATTTGTGTGAGTAGCGGAATCCATCTGAGACAATCGGGATCCAATTTAATACGAGAACTCTTTCGCACTTTCGCCATATGAGCATCTACCTTACTCCAATCGACTACCACAGCCACTTTAGAGTTCCCTTCACCGGGTAAATGGACCGATCTGATAAATCCCAACAACTGCATAGCAGTCGCAATATCATGAGCCGACACGCCAGTCTCCTTCGTTATATCTCCCAATTTAATTTCCGTGAAGTCTCTATGAGCATCAAGATATTCGAGCACGACGCTTTTCCAAAATGAGTGATACGATACACGACCAAGATCAGAGAGAGGTTTTTCCGGTGTACCGGGAATTCCTTCGACCTTGGACAAAAGGTAACTAAATTCGATGAGAAACCTTCCAAACCCTTGCCTTTGATATTGCGGTAGAGTCATGATACACGACACGTTGTATCTCTGTGCAGGACAATGCTTTTCTTTGCTAAAATAACCGACCAAATGGCAACCGTATTTGTCGTTCTTCGTCACCGCATAAAATAAAAACGGCTCCACGTCATAGTACAAAGTCTTATGATCCAAAAACAATTTCGCTAGTAGACATAAATTTTGACAGTAAATCTTGTTCACATTACCATCGATCTGAAATACAAAAACCGAAATTCATGTTTATATTGATAAATGGCGATCATAAATTGAATAAGTAGATTACAATATTACTAAACGAACCTCGAAAACAGACAGTCCGTTACATCTATATATTTCAGTGGCCGGTGGATGCCTCCACTGGCACTTGTCCATGTGCCTATCGAGCACTGCCCGACTCTTCGTGTACTTCAGACAAAATTCACAGAAGAACAGTTTTGGCAATCTTGCGTACTCCTGGGGGAACGGACTGGAATACCACGTTTCTACTTCGTATCGACCGAAGACTATGGCCGCAGGATTCCGTGTCCCACCACTACCAGAGACACTGATCCCAGGACTCGCGGATGCGGCCTCCTCATCATCTCCATTAGTAACGGTTAATCGTGCCGCTTTATCGCGAGCATCCTTAAACAGATCGACGTCCTTTTGCGTGACACCCGGTGGCAAAGTCTGAGGCAATATTGGTTCCTCTGCAAGCAGAATTGATACATATTGGTTTTTGTCATGTTCGTACACATACTCGCGACAAATAGAACGATGGAAGTAGAGTTTTATTATCTTTATCGAAAAGGTGTTTGATATTCATGTACTATGTCACGATGTTTGCAAAGTCAACGTATGAAATGTTGGGACGATCAACGCGTTGTAACGTTAAATATTAAACTCTTAAAATCTAATTTGTCGATATTAAACATGATATTGAATAGAGAAAAATCATTTTGTGCTAAAATAATGTACCTCCGATATAAACGAAATTGTGAAATGTAAAATAATGAACTAAACTCAAGGGAAATTTCGGACTGTGATATTAGTACACATCGATGGGTAAGAAACAAGAAAAAACTATGGACCACAAAAGCAAATTTACTTTAGTTGCCAAGCATAATATTAACCAGTGCACTGACAACCACGAGTAAGTAGTGATTTTTGCGGTAACGAACGAATAGCTGTTAATATTGTGAGTATTATCCAAAGCAAAGCTGTGGGCGGGTTTTTTGTGGGATGTGTTGGCAGAGTATCAAAGTTGGCTCTTCGATGGCAAAAAGGACATTCTTTTTACGGCGGAGGGCGGCGAGTTTTACAACAACAGTGCCTGCTAAATGTCAGCAGCAGCAGGTAGCCTCCAGTGTGACTATAATAAGGCGGCTGAGTGCGATATGCCACCCAGTGCCGCATTTCTTCGTCCTGGAAAACTGACCAGTATGGTTACTTTGCATTTTACATGGGAATAGGATCAAGGAATGAGCGATAGATAATTTCTGTTCAAGTTTCGTAGGACGACACATAACATATGCTTGGAATGAAGAATAAGTTTCTCAACAGTTTCAGCTATTCTACTTTGTTAATAATACACTAACGTCAGTGCTTCGTGTCGCACAAATGTGATATAATTTACGTTCACGATTATGCCAAATATCTCTAGCAATGAGTTCAGTTTAAATCTTTTGCAAATATTTTTGTAACAATGAAACAAAGAAATAAAACGAACGAAAGTGTATAAAACATTACGTGTACAGTCGGGTGCATTTATGGGCGTGCACTAGTCATGTACCCTATAACTATGCGGCATGGATTAAAGGAAAGTAAGTGTGCCAGAGCCAAGTAATAACATCATTAGTAACATGCAATAACCACGTAAATTTTTGTAATGTAAAACGAATGGAAGTTATGTCCGTTAGCAGATCGATTTTAAAAAGCTAAATCTGCATTCATTCTTGCCTGGACCGTTGAAATATCTACTATACCTTTCCATTGGTTTTACACCATGTATAATTGATAAACATTCAATCAAGGAACCTGATTGTTCTTCGTATAACGTCATAATGATTCAACGATTTAACAATTTATCAAGAATAACGTGCCAAGTCTGGTGAATTCAGCGACGACTTTAACGGTTCTTAGTCGAGAACAATCATGTTATCTTGAAAAAGAAGTTACATGTCAGACGCACATGTTCACACACATCATATACCACACCACACCGCCAACACATCCACGTGGTGGTGAGCGAGGATTAGATTAGAGGGAATTCTTCTTTGCGACTTGGGTGCATCATCGAGGTTAGGGACTCGTGAACGGGTCGGGGATAGACTCTTACCCTTCCTGGTGGAGCAGGGTGTCGCGCGGGGTGTCGTGGTGGTGTTGGTGGTGGTGGCGCTAGTACAGGCTCGTGGATTGGACTTTAGGCTAGGATTTGATTTTACGGAATCGGAACACAGGCCGGACTTCGAAACAGCGGGCACAGGGTGGCGTGTCTGATTCGCTTCCGTGATCGTGTTTCTCTTTCGCGAATAATGATCGTGCCTCGAAGACGACGGCGACAACGCATCCGTCGCGGCGCATTTCACCAACGACGTGTTGTCTTTCATTAGTTTTCTCCTCTCATGTTCGTGTCTTTTACTGTTCACTGCGGTTTTAACCAAATTCGACGGTGTCATTTTTGGTAGTTTCTCGTTCAACGAGCCAAAGAATAGATTTTCATCGGAAGGCGTGAATATTCCAGGCCTAGGTACTCTCGGTACATCGTCTAATGACTCTGTTTTTTTCCTTTCTTTCGATTTTCCCGCAACGGGCGAGTCATCCCTTTTGTTGCTCTGTACAACTTTCGAAACCTTACTCGGTTTGCTCGATTTACATGTGTCATCCGCGTTAGGCCGTTTTCTTCTGTCCGGAGCATAGTTAGGCGCTGGCGCGCCGGATCTCGCTCTGCTATTGGTAGGTACTGAAAAAAAATGGCTTAAACCGTCAAACAGGCCTTTCAATTGGCCGGTACCAGGTTTGACTTTGTTGTCCATGTTGGTGAAACTACCGGTCGAGATACTACCACGCTCGTTCTTTTGCTTCTTCTTGCTGTCCAACGCCGTGTTCGCAGCAGGTTGTATGTGCAAGCCGAACGTCGGCGAACCGCCTACGTCGAGCTTGGGTAACGGAGCACCAAAGGTGTTGTTAATGTTACTAAAAAATGGCGATTCTACGTTGAGCTTAGCAGCGGCCGCAGCGAAACCCCAAGGCTTATCCTCGCTGAGATCGCAAGAAAACGGACCCCTTGGTTTTGGAGACTCGAGCATGCGTCCTTCCTGGCCATCCTCCGAGGAGGAAGAGTCACTGGACTCACTGGAGCTGTTACCCTCCTCCTCGTCGTCTTCGTCATCGTCGCTAGAGTCACTGGCGTCAGAAGAATCGCTATCGGTCGCATCACTACTGCTGCTACTACTGCTGCTGCTAGACACTAACGGAACCCTTTTACCGGGTACGAGCGACTTCTTCTGGTTCGCGTTACCCCGAGTCAACCTAGGACTAACGTTCTGCGAGGATTTAGACTTATCACCGCCCCCCACCCGCTTCAGCTTATTGTGCTCCGCGTTAAATGCGCTCAGCCTAAAGAACTTTTGCTTCTCTTTGGAGATCCGGTCGTTCTTTTCTTCGAGTAGCCTACCCTGGCCTGCGAGTGGGGCGGGGGGTTGTGGTAAAGGAGAGGAAATTAAAGGTGGTTGACGAGGGGAGACAACACCCGCATTACCGTCCGAGCTGCTGTCCACCTGTGCCACTCCTGTTCCGCTTTTCTTGCCCGGAGTTGCAATCGTCAAGCTCTTTCTGGATACCGTCGATCTGGAACATCGAAGACGAGCATTAAACTTTGTCGTTCGATATCAATAAACCCTTCCTTCCACTTTGGTCTTACGCAACGTAAAACCGACGTTTCGATTCGCGTTAAGGAATCGAGCTGCCTTTACATCGATGCGATTATCTAGTTCGAGCTAGTCGATCTCGAACATGCTACTATATGTCGGTAACAGACCGTTGCGTGAGACAGACGGACCACAAAGGGCAAAACAGTCTTTATACCAGTATATTTTCTTACTTTCTATTTTCACGTAACTTGCTAAGTCTCTTCCTCGCACTGATCGGCGTGTCGTCGAGGGATCCTGTCTCCTGTGTTTTACTCTTTTTCCCATCATCCTTGGACACCGGTGTATGTGCCGTTTGACAGTGTCGACACCTCCAGGGTGCTTTGTTCTTTTTGTCGAGCGCGGGATCTAAGCAGGTGGGATGGTAACACTTAACGCACCCGGCACACTTTACCAGATAGTTCTGCGATTCCCGTTCCAACTGACACCCAGCACATGTTGGCGAGCAATCGTCGCAGGACCACGTTATGCCCCTGTCCACAAGGATCGAGAGTTCCGGCGGTGCGCATGAGTTGTGCAGCGCCGCGCCACACACACTACACCTGCTGAGTTTCTCTGCGGCGGAACGCTTCGTGTTGTTGTTGTTGTTCCCGGCTATCGTCGCGCCGAGACACTCTCTGCATATCGGTAGAGGAGCTGGCAACTGCGACAGATAAAACCAACCAACGCGTCAACGCTTCGTCCAACATTCAATTAATATTATTTAGTCAATTCACGAGATATACCCTTGCGTTGGCCCTTCGTGACGAGTCCTCTTTACGTGATACATAGACTCCAGATTCCTTCTACAGATAATTATACACCTAGACAATTATAGTTATCGCGTTCACACTCATCGTCAGTTCGAAAATATTAAAAACTTCAAGGGTGTCTATGACGCTATCGTATTGCACGATACGTCTAGATGAAGTGGATCAAATAATTATAGTTTTTCTTTGCCATTAACAATGAGCAGTTGCCGGATCTTCCCGCGAAATGGACGAAGATGGAATAGTCGATATAATATGCTACGCGAAATTGTTGCCCATACGGTTACCACGTTGTTGCGAAAGGTGTTATTACAGGTCGATCGGGCCATTCTTTATCACCACGTATAGCAGTGGAGCACCTTTACGGTGGGTGCGTAAATTTGTATGTATTTGCGGGGCCTTGCATTACGCGCGATGCATATGAAAGACGACCGACTGTGTATCGTAAAACATAATTATTCATTCCGGTAATAATGCAGGCTAGGTTTAGTATATCTCCGCATCAACGAGGGTGCATCTTATTAAAACTGTGCCCGCCACCATTCTCGGAGACACGCTTGCCCGATATCGAACACACATGCGAAAGAATGAAACCATTCCTACTGTGGAAACAACTTTCGAAATTGTGAAACAAATAAAAACGCGGCTGGATAACTATCTAACGTCTGGGTTCCCGTCTACTCACGACATTCACCGAGAAAACGTGATTACAAATATGCGAGTGTAATCGCTCGTCGTATCATAACCGATATTTTCACTCGTCGCTTTCTTCGGAAAGATATCAGTCAAGCAACTCTTAAGCCACGTTCCCGCTTGACTAATGCGTGCCATACACGCACACGAAACGTCATGGTGCGCTGTTTTTAAAGAGCTACATTTTTCAAGCGCTTCGAGCTCGTTCGTTATCACGTCAACTAGTACTAATTGTTAACTGCTACGAGTATCTTCTCGCCACGCGTTTCACAACGTGGGAACATGGCTTTATAAACTCATAAAAAACTGTTCAAAACGCGATGTCGTTGAACAAGCGTTTACGTTATGTAATCCTGCATACAACCTACAAAACCGATGCACCGTGCGAGCGTAATTATTTAATTGTTGGATAGGAATTGTTATCAGCGATTTGAGGAACAAATGGAGCCTAATTACAATCGAGTTCGATTCTATAATTCAAAAAACTTCGATACGAGAAGTATCCTCCAAACATTTTCGTACTCGAGGCAGTTGTCACGAAGTGACATTTCCATCGAGTTCGGAGTGGCTACAGAAACCAGCAGGGGAAGGAATTTCTTCGAACGGAACACACGTGATCAGGCTCCATTCCTCGGACCAACGACCTGTTGCTCGACGACGAGGTACGACCAATCGTAGAGTAACTGTTACGCGATTGGGCGATTCGCTGAACCGCGTCTTTACGCGTGACGTTTCTCTCAATGTACCACGGTGCCTTCCTTTCGAGTCTCTACTGTTTTAATGTCATAGCCTGCGCTTACGAAAAATCCCCTTGCAACGGATGACTCATCTCGCATTTCGAACCATTGTTATCATTATTTACCATCAACGGTTCTTGACAATTGATCAAATTCTCTTTGTCAATTTAAAACATCTGCCAACGGTAAAAGAACTTTACTAATCGCTCGAGGTAATCCCTCTTTTCCTTTGTAGCATGCCACATTCCAATTGATATAAACACTGTAAATGTATTTATAGTAATTAGTACTAATAAGTGTTACACAGGATATCCCAAAACATGACGGCATACATACGATCGTATCATCTATTTTTGGACACTCTGTATAGTAGATTAAATTTAACACAGATTTGGATTTTAAAGATCACCGTTTGTATCATTTCCTAAGGCTGTAAGATATCCTACTAATCTCGTAGTATTCTAAGATCGATTTTCTATGTGCAAGCAGTAAGCAAGATGGAGATCCGACAGCTTGTCATTATCCAACGGTCGATCGATCGTGATGAACAGAGTACGATACGGAGAAAGGGTTAACGAAAAAGCGCGGGAAACGAAGTTGCGGACAGCAGGTAGCGACGCGTAGCGGTGAAACCGAGAACCACTTGGGAGATAGAGAAAGAGAATTAGCAAAATCGCGTCGACGCGACCGTTCTATAACTTTCCGCGCTCTCTGCGGCCTGACACGCATAAAACGCGGTCGTCAGGAACGCAAAGGTACTTGGAGGGGGGAGCAAGCGAGAGCGAAGTGGGGGGAGGGGGAGAACGACAGAGACGGAAGAGAAGTTGGAGTGATTCCGTGCGCGCGGAGGATCAATAAGAGAAGCGATATACAAACGAGTCGCCGGAAGTTGGCCGAGATAGCACATCGTCCTGAGCCTCTCCCCTCTGTTCAGTTGCCCCTCCCGCCCGCCAAACCCCTTCTAAACTTCTTGAGGCGTGGGCACGCGGCGTGACTCGCCAGCCGCACGAAGAAAGGACCGTAACGAGCGCGTAATATTTTCCTCGTTGATTCGCGCGCGATGCTCGACCGACCATCTTTGCCAGCTTTTGTATAATATGATGTCATCGGATGCACAAAATTCCAATGCAACGCACCACAAACTGTAGCACTTTCCACCGTCGTTCCGTTAAAATTCCGAATAAGATTATTAGTACCGGACACAAATCCTGATTTTTTTTTTATTTAATGAGTTACACGCGTGTCCAATTAATACCAAATATTTGAAATTTGATACATCTTTCGGGAAAATGAGTGCAGCTGAGTCTGGTCACATAGTATAAATATACATTCAAGTGCTGTATCTCTTTCGAACGCCTCGAGAAACTATGAAACGATCCGTTATTTTTCAACGGTGTGTTTTCATTACGACGATTATTCTTACCTTCTATCTTCTTCGTTGCGCCGTTATGAATTCGTGAGTCATGCCCTGGAAATGCACTGTCGCGTCGACTCATTACTCTTTTCCTTAACGTCACCTCTTTCGGTTTCTATTCGAATACTACCGATCAACGACCAATATGGCAGACAAACTGTCTACCAAGCCACTGAAATTTGTTTAATCTTCCAAGTCTCGTACGTAAGTACGAAAAATCACTCCTTTTTCGATCGCGACGCAAATTACTAGGCACCCAGTACAGTACACTCTGTCTCTAGAGATAGCTCGTCTCCAGCTATTTCCAATACGGCGACAAAATTCAATATCGACTCGAGTTAATCCTTAAGGTGAGTCGGGCGGAATCGGGAGCAATCGGAGGAAAGGTGAACGATCATTGTTCACCTTCTCTCGAGCGGCGATTAACGTCGACCGCGAGAGAGCGATCGGGAAAAATTTCTCTCGTGCGAACGAAACTTGAGGCTCTTCGCGAGGAGAAAGACACGGCATACTGAACGAGCCTTGCCGATCGTTTTGCAGAGATTAATGGGAATCGTTGCGGGCCGACCGGGAACTCGCGGACTGCTTTTTGCTCCGCGACGTTTGACCTGAGGTGAACCCAGGACGAGCGAGTCGATGGAAAGCGAGAATCTACACCGCGATCGTCGCTTCGCGGACGAGTTTTGTGACGAAGTACTCGTGAACATGTGAAGACGAAGATGGAAGGACACTCACGAAAGAGTGAAGCAACGTTGGCACAAAATCGCTTATGATCGTTTATAATTGATATTAGTAATCAATACTAATTAACTGCCACCACCAGAGTGATTTGTTTCAATGGACCGTAAGATACCAAACAAATTTAAATACGAGACGCAGATACGGATCAGTTCTCTTCCACGTAGGTACAGTTCTAACCAAACCAGACTCGGGTAACGCGAACGTGCTCTCCCGAGTTCAAGGCCGTGAAAATTCTCGCAATATTCGCACAACAGTTGCTCTCTGCTTTGTCCAACACAGGTGGTTCCGAAACTCGAGATCATTCGTCTTCCTCTGTTCTAGATACGATCGCCATTTTTGCACTTGCGGAACAGGTGCAGGTCACCGCAGTCTCCGACCGTGTTTACTCGTAGAATATTTAACAAAATACACATTTGATTTGCATTCATTGGGAGGCGGAGAAGTGTATACTCCTAGCTTGAACTAGTGACATTAACTGGTTAAGAGAATAAGGGAAAGGCTGTGCGCGAAATGAAGCGTGAAAGAGACGAGAGAAGCCATTATATCACGATAGTAGATCTCAACCACTGCACGCACAGGTTAAGCATAGACAGCAGGATATCTTCCATTCCCAAGGTTATTAATTCCTAAAAATTTTCTCCGTAGAACAAACAAATTGTCTAGGTAGTTCGGATAAGTTTTCAATCGTTCAACGCGATTCGTGTAATTCAGATTGTAATTTGTATCGAAGAAATAATACATCAAAAGTTGTTTCCTTTTTGTATGTTATTTAAAATTTTTTATTCAGACTAAACTTTTGCCCATCTATGCCTACGACCCGTAAGGGGGCGATGAAGTGATTCAAACTCGAGACTTCAGGATTAACAAACGGCCGCGTTCCCCTACTGATGTGAGCCATAGTCGAACCGCTATCCCGTTGTTATAAACTCCTTTTCTGTTCTTTTTTTTGTGTATAGGGGACCCGGTTCCACGCTTGGCCATCCTGATCGCAATACTCGCCCTCGAATGTCCATTAGTTTCGACGTAGCGCCTCCTGCGTTTCTATGGTTGATTTGTTTTGTAATGATCTTACGAACAATCTGCTTTTGTCTCAAACAGAAGACATGGCGTTTGATGTTAAGCGACTATTCCTAACCGCTGGTTAACAATGCAATGGGCAAAGTTTGCATTCAAGTATTGGGGTTCTGGGTTAGGTATGGGGTACTGGGCCCGTTGATAGATGAAAACAGGAAAGAATAAAAATGACTCACCTTGGGGATAGGTGGGTCCGGTGGTGGGACGTAAGCGTTGTCCCCAAGCTTCTTGAGATAGGGTGGCCTGTCCGGTTGCCGGAAGAGCCTGCCATCCTGAATCACGAGACCTCGATCAGCCGCTCTTTTCGCGGACAGTCTTAGAGCCGTCCTCAAGTCTCCCTCGGTCTCCTCTTCGACCGTATGGCTCTGCCTGATGTATTTCTCGATGGTTTTCAGGGTCGAGCCTTCCCTCTCGCCGAGTTCTCTGACGGCCTTGCCGAGCACCTTGCTGAGATCGGAGGCTTTGCCGACCTTGAGCGGCTTCGACTGCAAGCCCCCAGGATCCTTGTACGAGGATTGTCCTTTATTGAAGATCTTGAGCACATCACCACGTTTCACGGCGACCTCTAGATGCTCCGCGATCTCCTCCTCGTGGAAGTTGTGATGCTGACGAATCGCGTGGCATATCCGTTCGACGCTCGGCCTCTGTTTCTGGCTGCGAATCTTACGGATCGCGTCCAGAAACCAGGTCGACCACGTTTCCGCGGACTCCGGTTCGTCCATCTCGTCTCCGTCGGCCGTCTGCCAACGAGGGCGGCGGCGGCGGCGGTGGCGACTACCACGTACCTGGCCAGGGTATACACACCCGGTGGACAACGCTCGAGCGCCTCCGGGTCGGTCGTGTCACGGCCACGTCATTCACATCCTGCGCCTGCTTCGCTTCGGCCTGCTGGGACCTTTGTAGAGACTCGTTCCTCCTCCCTCGCGCGGGTTAATCACTACCACGCGTTTCTTACGCTGACCCTGAAACCAGAACCACACCAGTCTCTCGTCAGATTCTACTAATGTGTCTTGCGAATCATTTTCTTTAGCCTTAAGGGGTAAGACCACTGTAAAAACCTGAAATAAAACGTTTTTTTTACGATTGTTTTTTCGATAGATGGAAATGCAAGAGGATAATAATATTCAAGAATATTATTAACCATGTCGTTAAGTGTTAAAAAAAATATGTTTACTCAAAAATAGTGGAAAATGACGACGCTGGAGCCATTCTCGCGAGGCGTGTTTTGAGTTTGAGGCGCTCTGCGGCACGCAGTGTAACTGACGCAAATTGGTATCTGGGGAAAAAACAAAAAATTTTCTCTTAATCTACATGATTATAAATAGAGAAATACGTAAGGGATCTTCGATAAGTTAATTGTAAAATTATTTATTGACAAATGATTGCTCCATTTTTTGAACAAAATTGAACTTTCTATTTCAAATGCTCGCCAATCACACAAAAATTAATGTTTCAAAAATCCCCAACGTATTTCTCTAGCTATACTCATGTAGATTAAGAGAAAATTTGTTGTTTTTTTCCAGATACTATTTTTGAATAAATATTTTATATTTCTAACACTTAACGACATGGTTAATAACATTCTTGAATATTATTATCCTCTTACTTTCCCATCCATCCAAAAAAAAAACGCTTTATTCCAGGTTTTTAGTGGTCTCACCCTTAACACGCGTTTGAAACGTTTAAGAACTGTTTCATCTGTCAGTGCATCTGAGGATTGGGGGAGTGACAAGGGAGTAACTGTCCCATTCCTATCAAAAATGTTTAACCATGGGGATTTAATGATATGCATTTTGCTTAAATACAAATTTTTGATTTTAGCTTTAAGATTTATTTTTAAGGTTTTATAATATGCATTTAAGCAAAATCCCAATGGTTAAAAAATTTGTGATAGGGGGCCCAATCTCAGTTTTCATATCCAAAGAAAACATATTGCGATGTACAGGATGGTCCAAGCAACTTGTGTAGTTCTGTAATTTTCAAAATATGCGTTATACGAAAAAATTTTATGTACAAAAGTTACATGGTTCGAAGGGATACATTACGTAGTATATTTATTTTTTTTATGGGTGGAGACGTTTCTGAGATTTGAAGGTCAACTTTGTTATTTTAAATAGAATACTATATTTTTTATATCAAAATATGGAAGAATATCGAATTCTGAGTACAAAAGTATTGATCTTTATTAGCCCTAAACCTAATAGCTAACGAGTAATTTCACTTTATTTCTTGATAATTTTCACTATACTGCAGAAATCTGTGATAAGGTTGAGTCTCCAATTTGATATCCAAGGTCAATACTTTTTTACTCGGAACTCGATATTCTTTCATATTTTCATACAAAAAATATAGTATTCTATTTAAAAAAACAAAGTTAACTTTCAAATTTCAGATATTCCTCCACCTATAAAAAAGTAAATGCATTACGTAATGTAACCCTTTAAACCATGCAACTTTTATATACGATATTGTTTCGTGCAACGCATATTTTGAAAGTTACACAGCTGCACATGTTGCATGGACCACCCTGTGTATACTGCAACATATCCAAAGAAAACTGAAATAACATATTTCACATACAGAATGTTCATTTGAAAACTTAAAATCTAAAATTCTGGAAAACAGCATTTTTGGCAAAAATGTTAAACAGAAAAATTTTTTAGTTTCAAGGGGACCAAATACATCTGGCTTAGTTGTTTTTTTTCTAAATGAAAGCCTATATATATTTATTTACAGATTCTTATTCTACATATATTTATATTAAGAAGTAACGGTAATTAAAATTATAAACTGAATATGTATCATTGTCTAAGATTTATTTCATACATCGATATTGAGTAATTTCTATTGTTGCTAATAAAATTTTATAAAGCGTGGAAAAGTATGGCGACTAAATTTCGGGATGCAGGAATACTATAGACTTCCGTTGATACATCTACATACAGGGTGTTCGGCCATCCCTGGGAAAAAATTTTAATGGGAGATTCTAGAGACCAAAATAAGACGAAAATCAAGAATACTAATTTGTTGACTGAGGCTTCACTAAAAAGTTAAATCAAAAAATTTCAAATCTTTCTTGAAAAATTATTTTTGGTTGCGGGGCTCAATTACAATCATTTTTGGTGAATACACATACACCCGAAATCCTACCCACTTTCGAGAAAAAAATTCGAGTAGGTACTGAAATTTTTAGGCAAAATTAAAAAATTTCAAATCGTTCTCGAAAAATTATTTTTGGTTCCGGAGGTCAACTACAAGCATTTTTGGTGAATACACATACCCCTGAAATCTTACCCTCTTTCGAGAACAAAATTCGAGTAGGTAATGAAAGTTTTAGACGAAATTAAAAAATTTCAAATCATACTACAAAAATTATATTTAGTTACAGGGGTCAATTACAAGCATTTTTGGTGAATAGACATACCCCCGAAATCCTACGCACTTTCGAGATGAAAATTTTTTACCGAAAATATAATTTCTGGCCAGAAACAGTTTCCCAAAATTTCATGCGTATCTTTAAAACATCATAACTCCTGGACGGATTGGACAATTTTAATGTTCCAAAAGGCAAACGACGCGTATTTTAGTGGAGAATATGTAGAAATCGTAAAAATAGCCGAAAAGTTGATCCTTGACCTCGTAAAGTGAGAAAAACCACATAAAAATGGTCCAATTTTCAAACGGCCATAACTCCTACAATAGTAACGGTATCTCATTGAAATTTTTTTCTGAAGCAGAGCCAATGTGTACCCACAAAAAAGTATTAAACAACTTTTCTATAGGGCGTCAAACAAATTTATTAAAAATGAAAAACGAATTTTTAGAAAAATCAACAGTGCTTAACTTTTTCGGCGAAAAAAAAATTTCATGTCGTTCTGGAAAAATTATTTTCGGTTGCTGGGGTCAATTACAATAATTTTCGTTGAATAGACCTACCCACTTTCTAGATAAAAATTCAGTACGGGCGGAAGTTTAAACGTTAATAACTTTTTAACGAAACCTCCATCAACAAATTAGTATTCTTGATTTTCGTCTTATTTTGGCCTCCAGAATCTCTCATTAAAACTTTTCCCATGTATATTTATCATCAGTTTGCTCGTGCGAACTGTACGATCTCGGTTTGCACGGATGAAACTGTTCAGGTCGCCGACCTCCATCGCCAAGGAGTTAATTCAAAGCGTAAATATAGGATTCGTATTTGCAAAATCTTAATACATGTTCAAATTCATCCCGTCCCACGAGGGTTGATTGGATGTCCAGCGAAAGCAATCTCCAGGACGAGTTTCGGATTTGGAAACGCGTTTTATTGCGGTGCAACATACACGATTGTGATTAGCATGGGAGAGGGACGCGAGCGACGTTTATCGATCGGTTTCCTGGCCGGCCAAGTATTGTTTTCAGTTACGACAACGTGCGCCGCGTATTAGTCGAAACGTATTCCAGAGTTTCATGGCGGATCCGTCGAAACGGTAGAAATTATTCGACCAAATTAGTTTGGTCCAAGAGAAACAATTGTTTAGATCAACCAACGTCAAAGAATGATGTCGTGTAAGTGAAAAAGGACGGTATAATACGTATCAAGCATCATCGTGAGCTTGAAACCGACCAATTTCCAGCTTGGTAGCGAACGATTGGCCGATTTTCCCCTGAGCGACTAACTTTCTCCTCGACGAGAGCAAGCTCGAGAAGGTACGGACACATGGAAGGGAGAGAAATATTTAAAAATCACTATACTCGCCGGTGGTATTGCGTAACGTGGATCGACCTATAAGCACGCGGCTTGTTAAGTCGATCGTAGCGCTCGTAGAAACGCACAAACACACAATTACGAATTTCTTTCTTTCTTTTTTTCGTTAAAAAAATACAAATAGAAGATTTCATGGAATTATGAAAAGATAGTAGTTTTTCTTAGAGACTCTGCCGCTGAAACGTCGAATTCTCCAAATAGTCCACGAAATGCCAGTACCGTTACCCCGTTGCTCGTTTTAGACACGTAAATCGTCATCGAGCAACAGAAGACACATACTGTTATCCACGACGAATAAAACATTGTTGTAAAACAGTTTATTGAACGGAGAACGAAACGAGCAGTTTTTCAAAGTTCAATGCATGCTAACGAATCTTTAACCCTTTGCCGTACAATGACGAGTCTGACTCGTTACAAGGTCTTGATGTAAGGTTTCACAATCATGAGGCTACTCACTCGTCATCGAGTCTGATATACTAAAATCAACACATTTTTACATTCACGAGGTATTCGTAAAACAAATCTATTCTTTTTCGTGGTTATTCCTTGTACAAACAAATTTAAATAAAATTAAATAGTATACGTTTGAAAAATTATTTGGAATTAAATAGTACATCAAGGGGTTAATACTTACTTGTCGCCTCTTTGGATAAGCATGCAAATCGAAGCGCCTAGTTAATCATCGTATACAAACTACCGTTCAAGAAATAAAACCGTAAAACAGTCACACACGCTTGATCTTGTCAACAACAGTTTTCGTTCTCTCTGTTAACCACTGGTGAAATTCCGCTGTCACGCAATAATTACAGCCATCGCACACTGAGTAAGTTTACGCGCGAATGCTCATAGTTTGCCTTCCTGGTCAAGCTCTTTCGATTTCTCAACGCCGAGGCCAAACGCCAAGTAAGGAAAACGCATTGTGGACACTGTTAAGTAACGATTAAAGAAACCGAACCCGGTGGTCTCTCGAAACGTTTCTAACCATTTAATGTGCTACCAAACAAGAATTAACGATCAATGACCTTTAACACTATGACTACCAAAGCAGTCAAAATCACCCATTTGTAATTTCTAGTAAGACTTGTACAAAATTTATTCGACTGAATTTTTGAAAGTTTACTATAATTTTCTATAAAAGAATGAATAAACATTTATTTCCATTGCATCATATATTTTTTCATGTATCTATCGTTTTAATTTCTTTGGTCCAAATAA